AGCCGTTTCTCAATACAGTGACCTATAAAAATGAATTACATTTGCCCAGTTGTTCCTTTCGACAAAACAACAACAAAGCACAACACATCCGGCTCTTATCACTGTCATACAGGACCAAAATATTGAACCCGCAGTTCAGAACGCGAAAAAATTCAAACTCTCGCCCAATTAAATTTCGAAAAACACAGAAACCGTGATTTTCAAGTAATCCTTCATCTCCCAGTACCATACGATCACCTTATCCACATAAACTCGGACATTCACCCATAACTATTCGGCGCATTACGTTCCCATCAATATGTACATTCAACAATCTCACATACCCTTCAAGCTGAGCGAACTGTTCACCTCCATCCCTACCTTCGCCACCGTCTCCCAGGATAGGTAGGCCCTATTTCAATATGTGACCCGCAAATCCTGGACCCACCCATGGCTCTCCACGGACATGAATCAATCTCAAACTAACAGACATGAAGCTAATCCTGATTACGTGGAAACGCGGATATCATGGACCGGACATACGCGCGCCTCCTCTCGTCCTTCCATTACAAATATACTGCTGCTGATGTTTCATATCAAGTTCTCCTCTCATTTCTAGGAAACTGGATCTATTATGAAGACCAGATTCCTGAAGGCAATTCCGAAACCTACTGAGACCCTGAAACTTCACCAAAATATCAAGAAGAAAGCCCAAGTGCCTCCAGGCCGGTCAGGCATTCAATCAGTTTAGCAACAGCCTGGATCCATGAGGGTCCAGCACGAGGAACCTTGTAAGTTTTGCAAGCTCTTGTTCGAAATAAAACTATCGCGTTCCTTACCTGTGAGTCTTTTTCCGCCACCAGGCACTGGAGCGGGAACGGCAGTCAGATGTAAGATGTTGGCGACGCCCGAACACACGACCATGAAAATAACTACTGAAAAGTTGGGAGAAATTCTGATGCAGAAACACCATTATTTTGAAGAGACTTAACTATGTTTGGTGAAAACGTTGTCTCAGTTAATTAAAATTCAACCACTAAATTCCGATCCTGATACAAATTCAGCTTATTCAATCGCCAACAGCATCTCAGGGTTTCCTAATTACACTGATGCCGGTATTATTATTATTATTAATCTTCGACTCGTGCTTCAGACATCAAAATGGTTTTAAAGCCGAAGTGTAGCATAGAGATTATGCATGCAAAGTACGCTTGTTGCTCGCAAAGCTTGGCACAACGAAATACGCGGGCATCCAACTTCATCGTTCCGAAGAGCACGCGAAATATCAGTTTTGCAGCAACTCCCAGCAGTCTTCGGTCAGCTTCCCCCTCTGTTTAATATTCTTCACCTATGTATGCAACTTGCGTAAAAGGAACCCGGGAACTATATCACTAACGCCCATAGAGTCAACCATGAAATCGAACAATTTAAGTTGTCCACTACGAAGGAAACCCATTTCAAGTGCCTCATTTTTATGTGGTCTTCAGTTGCATTCAGACAGTGATATCAGGGCAAAACTTTTGAAAAACATTAAACAAACTGCTGACATAACGCTGCAGTTCCGTAACCATGAGTACCCAGCGCCTTTTAAATCTTAAGCACAACAAAGCCGTGTTGGAGAGGCCCTTATCCAACCCTGCTTTCGGCATTGCCAAGACGATGTCAAGGCAACGTCACGAGCAGATAAGTTCGAAAAGAGCAAAGCGCCATTAGCCATACTGACAACATGGCAAATGGCATTGTGTGCGATTGTGTCACTATAGAAAGCGCAAATGTTCAGAGTGCGATCGACGCAGACACAAGGAAGGTCAGTGCCGGACACGGAAAGCTAGTCTAAGACGCAGCAAATGCAGGAGGTCACGAAGCAAACGGAGCGAATCATAACCCCGTTTTAACTCAATGCTTGCAACATTTGGTAACCAGATCGTTGCTCTTAGCAAGTACGACGCAATCACAGCAAACGTAGGTACAATTCGAGTGCAGCTCATCACGGCTTCCGATTTCACGATTGTCTCTCGGCGCACCTGGGGAAAGATAGGATCGCCGGAAATCAGACTACGAATGAACACTGCCAGAAATGCCTGGACGGCAAGCTTCGTCTACCTGGTGAATTTAGTTATGAAATGGAGCTAGCAGGCCTAGGTGATTTTGCTACTGTCTATCTTGCTGCCTGCGAGCTCAATCTCCCGGGCACAGACTGGATCGTTCGCATTCATCTTTCAACACTGGCACCCAGCAACATATGTATATCAAAACCAACCCAAATATCGAGAGTTTCTGGGGCAAGTTACCTGGTCGACGCCGCGATCCTACGACTACAACATAAATGTTGTGGCGTTTTTAGCGAAGGTCTTCGATGCTAATAGAAAACAAGAGGCGTGCTTCATCTGTGCACGCACGTCCAGCCAGTTTTTAGACCCAAAAGGCCAGCACCATACGCGGTTTTATCAATCTTCGGCGTCGACCTCAAAGGCCTTAAAGATGCGGGAGTAGTGAAACCGATAAGTTGCTCCATATAGGCCGAGAAATCGTGGTTGTTTAAAGGCCACAGGGTGCCATGCGTATCTGTGCTGATTAATCAACATGTCTGAGTGATTAGACACCGTGTTCTTCGATGCCCCTGGCGCTTACCAGACGCTACTGCTCTTATCATATTTCTACCTAATTACCTCTGTTTACAGACTTCAAATTTGGGCTGTGGTTGCCCAAACACCGCGAGTAACCGTTATTCAGTTTGGCTGGTCCCCGGTCTACGCTCACATGGTCCTTCAATGGAGGGAAATTACCTGTGGCACTGCATTGACCTGACCCCACCCGTGTCAGTCCCCTCGCCTAACCCAGATCCAGGGGCCGGAAAATACGCATTCCCTCTCCATTTGAGACACCCTTGACGACCGGTACGGGGCTGTGTTTCAGGGCAGTGTTGCATGACACTGCCATACCCAGTGTGGTGATATCAGTGGGAATGCCAGCTTGCCTTCGAAGACGTGAAGAGGCTTGCAGTCCGAACTTCTACTCACAAAATTTAACCCCCCCAAGTGCCTGTCATTCTCACAACCGGCTTATCCAACAGTGGAGTTGGTGCGGTCATTCCTCACGTTCCTTGATGGCACGAAAAAGCGGTCGCCCATACCGCAAGGTCGCTGGCTCCAGCTGAGCGAAATTACCATAATATTGAGGAAGAAGCGCCAGCCATTATTTTGGGGTGAAAGGGTTCCGCAAAATGCTTTACGATCGGCATTCACGCTTGCGGTGGGTCACAAAGCCCTGCTAGCTGTTTTTTTTACAAGAAACCTACACAGATCCACACAACTAACCGTCTACAACGATGTGACACGATTCAACCGATGAAATTGGACAGGCCGACGCGCTAAAGCGCTTGATTGCTTCACATGAAATGGAACAAGAAGGAACCGTCATGGTAAATGTTTTCTTCGCTGCGGAATTCCATGCTACAATTCTGAAGACCATGAACGAACTACCCGTGAGTTTTGGCATGGTCCGAGATGCCTCCAAAAATGACAGCGTACTACAAAATCCACGGAGTGCCACTAATGAAGCTTGCCAACAACCTGTCCATTAGGGGAGCTCCGAAAAGTTTTTCGACGGCGGAGTTCATCATATGCTATCGGTGGCTGTCTTCACTTTATAATTCCCACCGGAGTTCGCCACCAAGTCCTAGCACGGTTCCACAGTGGATATCCAGGATAAGCCGTACGAAGTCTCTTGCTTGCAGCCATGTGTACTACTGGCCCGCTATGGATGAGCACGTGGTCGGAATTCTTCGCTTTGCGCAGCTGTTCAGAAGTTACCCAACCGACAGTCGCCACAGCCAGAAGCTCATGGTCGCGCATCCATGTGGGTTTTTCCGGACCAATTAACGGACAAATCTTCCTCTTCGCCGTCGGCGCATTCGGTAAGTGGCCTGGAGACAACACCGATGGTAACCATCACTAAACCGCGGCGTTTGTTTCCGAAAACCGGCATTCCGGAAGTTATTGCGTCCCATAGTGGTACTCAGTTCAGATCTCACCAGTTTGGTGAATTCTTTCGAAGACACGGCCTCAGACATGCCACTTCCCCACCATTCCATCCCCAAACCAAAGTTTCAGCTAAGCGGTTGGTAAACACCTTTAAACGAGCGTTGATAAATGAAGAAAGGAAAGGGATCATAGCAGAAGGTCGCTTTCTAGCAGAGTTTATGATGAACAGTCGGTTGAAACTTGCCCAATACGCTACCCAGCCAACATTTACGTGTTTTCAGTCGTCGACAGGAAGGAAACCAAAGTTCAGGCCTGGAAACCATGTGCTTGTCTGGGACTACTTCCCAGGCACCCAGGATGGACTGTTGGAGACCTCCTGAAAAGAACCGGCCAGGTGATTTACAGCGTTCAGATGGGATTATTGATGTGGAAATGACTCAGTCAGCCGGATCCAAAAAGCGGAAGAACAATAACTAGAACTCAGACTACCACTTGAAACACTTGATCTCCCGAGATCAGCGCCCATATCCACCGCTTCATAGTACTATCCAATGCCTGTGCATTGCTGCAACCAAGATGCTGTACTGGTCGCATCAGAAGGCTGGTGGAGCATTTTCAACTTGACATCCCTCAATAACGGGTCCTGACCCAGGCATTTTGACGGCTTTTCGCAGGATATACAGGGCTCCACCAAACTAACAGTACATAATTTAGACACCCACTGAGTCAACTTCATATGGGACTGACCAACAGTTTTTCAACTTCTTGATGTCCGCCCGGATGCAGACAATCACCACCATGTAGTACATTTATTCATTTTACACCTAAGGACCGCTAAAAGCGTCTTACCAGTCACATAGACTGATGATGAACGGCCCCCGAATGTAGGTGGCTCATCCCAGAACAGGAACCAGTATCTCAAACCCCACGATCCAAGTTGACGAACCTTTTTAAGCCCACTGAATCCGTTCTGAAAGCTGAACTGTAAAATATTTAATACAACCAATTGAAGGTTTCGATTTTCAAGGTTAATCGAGTCACATGGGTTAGGTCAGCTGGTTGCTTATCATGGTAACCTGACCAACCTTGTGGCGATTTTTTGCTGATCTGACCGCCTGTGGTGCCAATGTGATGCTAAATTTTGGTCTAACTTTGGGTTTAAAATGTATTCACTTATATATTCCCGATGACAAACTTCAAAATACGCGCCATTTTACAAGGAACCGTAAAATATCGTGATGGCAAAAAAGTACGTGCTCGTGTACATGGTTTTTGGCCTGTACATTAAGTTCGTCCGCCTACCTGATAACATTGCTTTCATGTTTCAGTGGAAGAGACGCTATTGCCTTCTTGCCCTTTCACCTGGAACTTCCGGTGAGTGTTCTTCATTGTCCGTATTTCCAAACCGGCTACTTGGTATTAAGCTAGGTTGTGCGTTCCATTTTCAGGTGTTACCTAACTCTTCGAGTGTGTGTGAAGAGGACGCTTTCGGGGTTTCGGGTTGATTGGGCAGGTTGCCAAATATTGGCCGACTCCGTACAGCCCGTTGCAAAATAAGTCAGCGGCCATCTCCTCATCAGCTGCAGTACATCATTTCAGCTAGTGACCAAGAATAAGTTTGATATTTAGTTATTGGGTGGACGTCTATACGATAACAGTGACTTAAGTGGGGCAGTGTAACTCAAGCCCAGCTGACGAGACCCTCTGTTAGCTGCCGGTGTTTTTCCCTTTGGCACTCCACGTACGCGAGTGAGTGCTCATAATCTCACATCACCTGGAATCGATGCGAGAACTTGCCAGTTTTGTGGATGGTTCCGAGCCGCATGGGTGCTCTTATCGCTGCGAAACTTGGCTCGATGCATGCGTCTTGCTTTGCTCGTCTTTACATTTTGGATGCACGCGAGGCGCAAAGAAGTGCTTACTCTCAGTTGGGAATGTGGCCATTACCACCTAGCTAGTCAGTCATTCTTGTGACAGCATCAATTCCTCGCGTTCCAGCGACAGGAAGATCGGCAATGCCATTCCACAGGACGATACTACCATTAGACGGAGCGAGGTGGCTCAGGTGGTTGGAGCGCGAATTTACCGACCGGTAGGTCCGTGATTCGAACCCGAGCTCTGCCTCTTGACTTCGACTTCCCTTGTCTAGGCTTGGGCAACCTGGCGGTATCCCAGCCCTCGTACTTCTTCCGGGTAGCTTGGCAGCTAGTCGCTGGAAACGTGTTACAGCTGAGAGATTTACCACTTGCCAGAGTAGCATGCTCTTCCTCGTCGTTGTTGGACAATGATGGTCCAGTCCTTTTAGACTGTAGTTCATTTCGATTAATCATTCCGTAGGAACAGTGCAGGTTGCTCTAATACTTGATGGACTGTTAAGATGTGGTCCCCACTCCCTTCCCGTCTTGAATCCTGCTTGCTGTCCTCGAGTACCGCCTTTGCGCGCTTTCGTAAGGCGACGTAAACCTAGCGATGTAAAGGGTCTCGTCAAAATGGCGGTCAAGCTAAATACTGTATGTTGCCATACTCACGAGGAGCACCATTTTTGAAAATGGACATCTCGACTCAGAATGAGCGGGTCAGCAATTGACGCGAGGTGGGCGAACCATGTGGCCAAGTGTTCTTGGTCATTGCTACACAGAGACAATCTGTTGTCAGCACATGTCTACAGCGGGTGCTTGCCGTTGTCCAAAACGACCGCTAAATTGAGCGGCATTAGCGCTTATTCTGCCTACTTGCGCACTCACACCCGCAAGCACAATAATATCTGAGCTCTTTGCCCAACGCAATAAAGTGACCAAAGCGTCCTAAGAACTTTTTGGGTGTATCGGAACTATGATCTGCTGGCACGCAGACAAGTGCGATGAGGGGCGTGATGGGTCGGTAGTTAAAGGGCTGATTTACTGCGCGGAAGGTCCGACCGCTGCCTCGACATATGGGCATTCCAGCCCTCATGCTTCCTCCGGATGGCATGGCAGCTAGGCACCGGAAGGTTGTTACAGCTGAACGATTTATTATTATTATTTTTCTACCCTTGTGCCGAGGGATTTGGTTTGAGAACCACAGTCTTGTGCAGGTTTGCGTGCCTTTGCAATATCTCACCCACGTACAGCCATAGTGCCTACGATTTTTGATTTGAGAGAAACTACCTACTTAGGCATAAAGTGGAGTTAACTGTACATTCACACCCGTGCTGCAGAGTCCTATCACGTAGGTACTGATTAAACGGTGACATTTAACCTCTCCTGTTGTGAATTTCCATGTGTTGTCTTGATACACTCGCGAACTTGCCTGAGTGATTCACTCTTTCAGCCTATTTTCCAGTTTTTTTCCGCCGGACAAATCCCTTGCAAGTGTGCGAAGCTGCTCCTCACTTTTTACCCTTGATTCTGGGACACTTTCTAATTCTTCAATTTTATGTCTTCATTTCCCTGGATTTCGGATTAATGCTTGATTGTCCCAGTTTTTCTGATTCCATGGCTGGTATGTTTGTTCTTCAATCACAGAATCCCCTATACTGAGCCCTATGTTCAGCCACTAGCATTGTGTAGAATTTCCGGTCCTGGATTTTCGTGTTTCCATGGCTCTCGGGGAACCCACTGACCGGGCGACGTTCCTCATTTCTGCTGTATTCCGGATTCAATGAGGTAGTCGAGAGCCCGTTTTTAGTGGACGCACACAACAGTACGACAGTGAAGTGTCAGTGTCAACAATGATGTTGCTGTCTGGTGGTTATGATGCGGAGTCATTCGCTATTCATGACACGGGCTTGTCAGAATTCGTTGATGCCTTACTAGCACGCCTTGAATGACCTGGTGGCAGCACATGATTCCATTTCGCTTGACCTTCCGAGGCTCAGACTGCCAAATTGGTTTTTGAAGGTGACGTTCACTGGGGTTAACAACTTATCAATGATGGGTCGAAGTGAATTAGATGCATATTGGTCGATGGGTTGGATTGTGGCGGACTGTGACGCCGATGATGTGTGAGACCCATGGAAACATGTTCTTTTGCACGCCTTTCAAGCGTGCGTTTATTTGCCACGATGGAACATGGCTGTGATCGACAGGCTGAACCCATGTAGAGTCAAAAACAGGTAATTAACCGAAAGGATGGTCCCAGGAGGGACTATCCTTTGGAAAAGACCACTTTCGTTTGGTTACCTGAAACCTGATTTTATGGTTGGACACCAGCTTCAATCTCTGGCACCACTTTATTGGCATGGTTCAACAATTCTTTCAATAACTTTCTTGTGATACCCACCAAACAGCTGGAAGACCGCGGAAGATAACTGGGAAAACTAGGGTGTGAGACGGGCACGACTGACTCAACTATGAGTGAAGAAAGCTCAGCTGTTTGAAGCATAGTTGTTGTGTGGCCAGTTGGGGCATATTTGCCCATAGATAAAGCCGTTGAGACTCTTCGCCTGCATGATTTCCTCGACCGGTGCACTCTGCTCATGAGAACTGTCAGAGCGTCATTATGGCTGTGAGATGATCTCTCAGGTCCGTGAACCTTAGGCCTGTTCAAACTTAGTCGCCGTTGTCTCCGTGCTGCAGCAAGAGGTAACTGGCTGCAACGAATATATATTGAACTGGAGCTTCAGGAGGCGCTTGGTAACCAGTCCGAACCGTTAGAGCAGCAGTTTAGACTCACCAGGTCGGGTGGTTGGGCATGTATTCTACCAAAGAATGTGTTTTCCGCTCCTAGCGATTGCTGGCGAAAGGTTCACGATGAGGCGAACCCTGACATGGCAACGTGAAGTGAAAACCACAGTCGAACTGAGTATTGCAAGGTCTTCGCGCCTTCCTGGTTGGGGTCCGTGTTATCTTGCTTGCACCTGCTTGGAAATCGTCACTATCAGAACCGCGTACAATGGTTGAAGCTGTTAGAGTTTTGTCCGATAATTCGGGTAGCTGGAGTGGGTAGCTACGCATCGGAGACAGTAACTGATAAACTGGTGCGCAAATACAGTGTTTCAAGTGGACTTTTAACTGGATGGGGGTTTAGGAAAGAAGCTATGCAATAAGACAATAGCGTAGATGCACGAACGCCATTGAGGGCGCAACTGGACCATGTCTGACAACGTCTCGGGGTTCCCAACCGAGGCGGCAATGACCAGCGTAGCTGAGTTTTGCTGGTAATGGCTTGCACACTTTGCTGCTTTGTTTAACCTCCTCTGACTCGCTTTCAACCTTCACATGGTTGTGCGAAAAGAACCCTTCGAGAGAGTCAATTGACTGGCATACGAAGCACGTGACCAGGCCAGCGCACCCTATGGGTTGTGATCAGTTCAGCTGTCATGGGTGAGTTGTTTCTTCGGAATACCATTCAACGTATCTCAGCATTGCTGATCCTGTGTTCCCACTAGACTTTGGCATTGCTCCGAAGACGTCGATGGTCAAACACTGAAAGTTTTGACGTCCTCGGTGCGCGACGGCCAGGTTTCTAACCCGTATAGCAATATAGGTCGCACCGCAGCGTTGTAAACTCGACATTTGACGGATAAGCTGATATCGCTCCTGTACCACAGATGATGCGGGTTCACGAAGGCTCCTCTGGTCTTCCCAATCTGGATGAAGATATAATCTTTCGCGAAACCACCGGGAGTTGTACAGCTGTACAGGTAGACATACTTGTCCACTGCGTCAAGCTGTTCATCTGGAATTGGGCAAGGGTTCGAGCCCACCCAGCCTTACATTATCACTTTTCAGGTGTCTGCGTGCGCCATACTGTTTTGGGCACGGAGAACAATACCTCCGGCAACCAATAAGGTAGCATGCACAATACGTGACCAAACCATTGCTGCTTTTGGTGCTGGGCACCCGCCGCGAATGGATTCTCTGCTGCACCGCCGAACACATGTTTTCTAGTTATCTGCGTGCGCATTCGTCGGAAACAGCATACAAGAGCTATGGTTGTGGGTTGGTGCAGTGGATAACGCGCTTAGCTGGTGCCTCAGAGCAGTGGGTTCGTTCCCCATTACGAGATCGAACCCAGATAGTATAATGGGTTTGACGCAAACTTACCGACCGGAGGGTCCGTAGTTCGATTCCAATCCCGTCATCCCGACGGTGTCTGCCCAGGTTTAGGCAACCTGCGTCTATCTCAGCTCTCGTGCTTTCTCTGGATTGTTTGGGGGCTATGCATATAGAGGACGTTGCGGCTGAACGATTGGTCGGTAGTTGGTCACGAATCATCGATTGCCAATGGCCTGCTGAGACCGCGTCTCACAGCCTGTACTTTAGCCTGTAACCTACCAGGTGGGACACAGTTTGAACGGATAACGTGGTTATGGATACCGAGGAAACCGGATTAGGATAGTGAGTAACGTTCTCGGCTGCTATCCTAAAGTCTCCGGGTTCGATCCCCGAATCGGCAACTCGAAAATAGGACGAGTAGGCCCGAAATCGCATTCGAAGATGAACGGGTGAATAAAATCTTGGTACCAACAACTGGCGTGTAGGTATACCTTGAGGTGAGCCGAAAACGGGACGACCGGCATGGAAGCCAAACGGCGTCGTGGTAAGCAGTCATTAGTCACGCTACTCATGAGTAGTCAAAACAAGTGTGATAAATATCCGCTAACCGTCGTCTGTTCACGCATGAAACGGACGTGTTTCCAGTGCCTTCAAATTGAGAATACAGACAGTAGTATATTCATTGAAACGATAGTTCATGCCGATCATGTTTAGGATTTCACTGTATCCGCTAGATCTCACCGGTTTTCACCAAAAATGCAAGGTATCCTTACTTGAAAGCAGCGTAACCAACGAGGCATTGTTGTTGGCATTGTTTCAACCAAATAAGTGAAGCCCCATTCGTTCATCCGCATTTGTTACAGTTGTGGGGATAGTTTGTTTAAACAGCGTGGAGCAGTCGAATCTCCCAATAGAGTGTGCTTCCAAGAAGCATGTGGTTTTCACTATGCCCAATGATCTGCGCTCTTCGAGCTTTGCAGTATTGTTACGAATGGAGTATAAATCCTGATTGAGCTCGAGACCAAGACTGATTGGCGTAGAAGGAGTAGCGCTTTGTTCATTAATAGCCGTATATATACTGAAAGTAAAGGCGAAAGCATAGTTAATACGAAGCGATAATGTGAACACAAAGTTTAGCCATTGTCTAGAGGGGACACGGACTGAATGAAGATTAGTTGTAGAAATCCATCAAGGGGTAATGAAAATTGCGGCCAGGCTTCTCGGTTTCTTAAAATGTAGGATTGTGTTCGTTGTTGGAGCCTGGCTGAGTCAGAGATCCCATGGTGTTTGGAGTTTCACTGCATCGCCCGGACACGGGGTGAGACTGAAGTGTGATCGACATTATGTTAAGCGTTACTGAGTGACGGTGCGTGCAAGTCAGTTAATGGGGATGTATGAGCGTCATCACATTCACTAGATGAACTGCGCGCGAACTCGTTGACAACTGTGCGGTCACCACAAGGAACGAGATAGTGGACGGATACAATGCCTTCTTTTCCGCCGGGAGAATGAACATGAATTGGTTTCCTCAACGATTGGTCCATACGTTTAGGCACGGCCAAATCCTTTCAAAGAAACTGGTCCTGGATTAGTTGGCCAAGTTGGTATAGACAGACCACAGGATACAGTGCGAATTTATTGACCAGTAGGTCCGTGGTTCGAACCTGATTTCTGCCCCTCGATTTCCCCTGTCTAGGCTTGGGCAACCTGGCAGTATTCCAGCCCTCGTGCTTCCTTCTGGTGACATGGCGTTCAGGCATAGAAAAGGTGCTACAACTGAACGAACCACCGGATGACCGACGTTCACGCCGAAGCACTCGTGGAGACGCTGAGAAAGGACCGAAGAGAGTTGAGGGGGTCTGATAAAGCCGACTACTAATAACAAGTTTGAAGGTCTTTCATCTTGAGTATGAGCTGGATTGCGCTTCAGAGTGTTCCTTTGAGGCGTTCGACTTGCCCTTTCACCTTGGGATTATAAGCAGTTGTACGGCTGATACAAACTCCTCTGCCATGTAGGGATGTGGACGTTCGTCAGACGGGAATGAGGAGCTACGATCTCAATGTACGTACGCAGACATACCACACGAACTTGTATTAGACTACACTAGTACCGGAGTGCACTAGTATTCGAGCCCTCCATGGAGAACTCAAAAGTTCAATTGTATCTGCATCCAATATTCGGTTAACTTCTTTGCGAATGAACTGTTCATCGTGAGGGTTGTGACGCTGTGTTTTCTTGGCGTTAGGCTTGCAATCAGGTGGGAGGTTAGGAAAAAAAGTGATTCAACCGTAGCAGTAGTTAGACAGCAGAAGGTCAATGAACCTCAGACCCACCGAAGATGATTTCAGCTTTGTTATGTAGAATAAGGAAGTCGTGGCCTAGCAGCACGTCAGCACCAATAGTTTGATCTTTGTGCAAACGGTACCCCCGTAATCGATGGATAGACAGCAGTAGCCGATAGTTGAACATATCAGGTAGGTAGATGCCATAGTAATCACATAATCGTTAGCGTAACCCTTCCAATCATGTGGACGAACTTCCTGTGTCTATGAAGGCCTTAAAGAACCTTCCGTCTACCCTGATACTGGTCACCGTGCGGGACAAGCAGTTCGGGGCTGCAGCAGTCAACAAAGAAGATAAGGCATAATCCGTTGTACAATTTGAGTGATTTGTGAGACTCAAATCGAAAAACGCTGAAAATAACCCGTCTTGCCACATGATTCAAAAACCTCTTCTCTTATGGGTCATTTGGATGCTTGTTACGACCACAAAAATAACGTATCTGAGAATTGATTGATGAGAGGTAAGTTGTGGAATCAGGGGTGATTGAGTGTGACGGGGTAACCGCAGGTGACTACAAAGGTACTGCAGCCACAGGAAATGATATCGGTTCGTTGTGCGTGTATGATAGCTTGCTTGTGTTTCAATTCGCTGATTCATGTGCTTCATCCAGAGTGAGTTCCTTTTGAGCCAGCATACAGCATGCTGGTTTCTCCAAGGTGACTTCATGTGCTGCCTGTAGGTGCATTGGCACTAGAGTCAACCTATCCAGCATGCTGGTCAGGTAGAGGCGTATGACCCAAGTATCCAAACTCTGTGCGGAAGGTTACCCTTGGAACATTCACTTTTGCGTTGAAGGGTCCTGCGTGATCGGTGAAGGAACCTTGTGTAGGTATGTATGTCGCTAAGCAAGACTGTATCGTCAGCTCATATTCCTCAGGCACCGGTTGTCTGCAAGGATGAGTAACATGTGATAAAGAACGTCCACTCCTCATAGCTCGGTCGAGGTCAAACCCTGAGTTCTCTCGTCGTTAACTGGAATTCGAGCTGTCGTTGACAGTTGGTGGGCTTTGATGGGAATGGTGAGTTCAATAATCGTGGATGACTCATTGTGGATGGAGTCGAGAGCAGCTCGGTAGTTAATGGAGCGCAGATCAGTTTACTGCTGGAGTCTACCCAGTTATTTCAGAGTTCGGCATAGGATAAATGTCTGATCCATACGGCTCCTCTCGCGGAGGAATTTCCTTGTTTTGGCCGTCTTCGTGTATCTCATCGCTTGCCTACTCAAAGTTGAGTTTTGCACAGTGTGGATATCTTACGATGTCCGTCTATTAGTGCACAGGTGATGATAGCCATAATACAAATCAGAAGGTGTATGTGCACTAATAGAGGTTTTTAGCATGGTTGCGATACGTATAAAAATAAATACTGTGAAGTGGGAGCGAGTCAAAATGGAACTTATCGTATGTGAGAGTCCCTTGGTAAAAATCCGGACGGTGGGAACATGTTTTCTTCGCAGTACGGTTGCTACACGTGTTCCATGATTGTCCGTGGACTTGGAGTGCTTGGCTGACTCCTTGCTCCCTGCGCGCGCGCGAGTCTGTGTCCTGACTGGGTTCGGTTTCCCTTTATGTAGGTCCCAGTGCATATACGTGGGCGCGTCGGCACATGAGTGATTGCTGCGCTGACTAGGCGGTGCAGACAATCGATGTCCGATGAGTCAGCTTAATGCGACGTGTTTGTGCGTATGGGAAAAAAGACAAGCCTCACGATCCAGTGAGCGACTGTGAGTTGAACAGTCAAGTATGTGGGTGACTGGGTCGGTACACGTGTCGTAACCCGCTCAAGGTGATTCCTAATTGATTATTCTCTTGGTTTCAATCTCACCACAGTCAGCACCCAAGCTCTTAAAGCGCTAGCTCATGCTGTGCATATTATGTGGGTCTACATTGACCTGTTTACTCCGTCGGCCGTTGTTCGTTGTTTCATTTTTAAACTCTATTTTTTTCCTGACCTGTGGTATCTCCCAGATGCACTTCATCTCTATGTGACCAAAAGCTATGATGAATTCGCTCCTTATCGGAACAGCCGCTGCCTAGTCGATATGGAACCACCAATACAAAAAGGATACGTCTACCAGCGTTCGACGATCTCGAACGAACCTTCTCATAAACCACTGGAACGCGAATCGTGCAACAGTTTTTCACAGCCACGAATCCATGATGCCCCTAAACCTTTGGTCAATACTGCGGCGCACTCCTGCCTTTTGGCCGCGGAAGCTACGACCAAGGGACTTTCACTGGCAACCAACCTGGCAACTCGATTGAATGCCCCAGTCCCGATCGATGAAATTACCGGGTTCGAAAGTGGTTGCCATCTAGACAAAGAGTCCAACGTAATCGTGCTGATCGGAATCTCGTCGGTCCACATCATCGCGTTAGAGGCCTTTGATGAAATGTTTCGTTGGGCCGGCGCAATGACACAAATTATGACTGGTAAGGCATCTTTAAGTATTGAAAATGCAGGCAAATAAGGACGCTTTATCATTCAGGAAATTCATGCCCTTCCGTAGTTGCATTGACTGACGGTGACTAGTTCCTTCACCACTCTTGATTTCTTGTAGACTTTCACTCGCAGCATCGGTGTTGATAACTGATGCGATGGTGTCGATGATGATGATGAAAAATCACCCTGAAATACGAGTTGATGGGGTTTGCTGAATTGACCCGAATTTCTTTGTGGCAATACCTAAGTTGTTCAAGGTTCAACCCCATGTGAACCCCCTTATGCATACATTAGTGACCGATTCGAAGTCCATGCTCCCCTCGCTAGCACCTTAGCGGGACTTCTGTTGCCGTGTGCTGCTGTTCTTCAACAGCATGCATTTTCAACTCACACTCACACCTAGCATCTACCTAACCTAAATGACGACGGACCCTGTTGGATTATATATAATTTAGCTGTATGCAGCTGAACGCCAACCACGCAATAGAATATGGCATCCGAAGACCGAGTACATCGCTACCGAAAGAACACGGTTTATCAGAAGTGTAGATCTTGTCCAACTTACATTAAAAGTACAATAAACACTTCTGAATATTTGGATTTCAAGATTAACGAGGGTGCTTAATTTTTACACCTAGGGACTAAGTCACTCACAACATTCAGTAACTGAATTTGATTCAGTCTATAAACCTTCATAGTCTGAAGCTAGTGGCTCGAGATAACTCAGCTAACTTTGCATCTCGGTTGCTACTGTCTAGATTTGGGCGACTTGGTAGTATTTCCTTCGGGTGGATGACAGCTGTGCACCGAAGAGGCGTTACCGCTGAACAAATGTTATTGAATATTATGTTATGAAGTTAACACCATCTCCAAGTGATTTCGATCAAAACGCACTTAGTGGATCAATAACTACAACCCGATTTACTCAACCTGAGCTTCCGATGTCATGAACGTCGTTAGATATTACCACCAAACAGGTCAGTCTTACTCCAATTTATGTAATCTTTTCTGCTTTTTGCTGGTTGGCAACAATTGAATGGATTGGAGCTTTGGCAGATTTTGTTATAGAATAACCATTTGCATCAAGTTACTGCCAATAGTATCACGTGGTCATTCATCCGAGCGGATTTTGCTGATTAACCGTGTAGAATTACACTAGGTAGGACGCTTGCTTTGAATCGTTTTGTAGGTGCCCAGCAAAGTGTTTTTGCCAGCAAGCGCCCGCAAAGTGTGCACCGACAAGGATAGAGAATCTGCCCTGTGATTGGTACATCACCCTCTTCGAACAACCCCTTTCTCGGAAAACAAGACCTTTCATCAACCTTTTCTGACCCATTTCGTCCAATGGTTTGCTGTATATAGGAAGATTATTTTTCATTCGCTATTTTACCCGCTACCCAGTGAGTGATACAAAGTATCGCATTTAATAACTCAGTAAGCTCTTTTGTGTTAGTTTTCAATATTCTTACTATACCAAACGGACCCAAACGTGTTTTTCACTCAGCATTGATGTACTCTGTATGGGTAAACGAGAGTTATCACTTGGAATTTCACATCTGGTTTTTATCGCAACACAGTGAGATGAATCCAGATACTTCCCACTTTCATTTGGTCGTATCTGATGCTGTCCCAAGCTTATTGGTCCTATCTACTTTCTGTCACGGAATGACATGTTTTACCTTCCGGCGTAACGAGTTGCTGGCATCCGCGCTGGATTTCGTAGTCAGTAACGGTTCGGTAAGGGGGAACATTGACGCCAATGTAGATCTGAGGGAATAAGACTGGCGGTTGAGCATACAGATGCTCGTTACGGGCCACCAGTTGGCCTACACGTAATGGTGCAGCGGTGAGCGACACCGAATGATGTAGGTTGCAACAGGGACTCTGTGGCCTCTCTAACCGACTTGTTTATAAGCGTTGAGACGCGTCGCGTCTCAAATGCTTTCAATCCCGTTTAAATGACCATTCTCTGGGGATGTTGTACACCAGATCCTCTTTTTGTCCACAGTGGAAGTTGCACCTTTTCAAACTGATTGGAAGGCTCCCAGTAGCGGAATTCCAAGCGCATGTGATTTCAAACTCCATTCGACAGTGGTTATTGGATGCGAGTAGCTCAGACAGCTTTACTATCGGAGCTGATTTTAAGCAGTCTGCAATTGCCTATCCTTTTTCCTGCTCTTCGAAAGACTTCAGTGTCTCTATTTGATAGGAATGATTTTGCGTGGACATGACAGGTGAAGTTGCTCAAGTGCCTGAGCGTGTCTTTGTAGCGTCCTTTTTTCACCACCATACAGTAGCAAAGACTGCAACAGTGCAACGATGTCTCCGCGCCGGTTTCTGTTGCTTCTCCAGGCATCAAAATGCAATTCATGGGTTCAGCGCACCATCAAGCATTGGGTCTTTGGGCAATGTGCTCATCACCGTCATCAGCTGTTGGGAGCACTTACTTGCCGCATAGTGGTTCTAGCTGTCACACTTTCGTTCACCGATGTTGCGAGATGATGACGTAGATAACTGCGAATTAGAGACGGTAACTGATATAATTAATGAGTAGTAAATACAGGGTTGTCGGTGGACTTTTAATTGGGACGACTAGGGGAGTGGCTACGCATTGGATGCACGAACGCCGATGAAGGCGCAACTGCATCATGTCTGATAATGTCTGTAGTCATTGGTGTCTCGGGTTCCGCATCCAGGAAGATGGTAAGGACCAGCGCAGCTGAGTTTTCTGGTAACGGCTTTCATACTTCGTTGCCAGGTCATTGTTTGACCTCCCCTGACTCGTTTCCGCCTTTCACGTGCGAAAAGAGCCTTTTGAGGAAGTCGATCGATTTACATTTGGAGCACATGGTCAAGCCAATGTTCAAAACGTTATTTCGTCGTTCCATTCACAGCATTCAGTAACGTAACATCGAGTCTATGAGCCTCTAACATGTAGTCAAGTCACTCTGAGTTGCGTGTATGGGATTCCCAAAGCGGGATGCTGATTGTCCGTGAAATGTGGAGAACTACTTGATGCCTGATAAATCAGTGTCAAGTTTAGAAAAAAAGCCTGATGTAATACAGAGAAAAACGCGCGGTTGATCAACTGGTATACACGATTTCATTGGTGCTAAGTCATACGGGATTACATAATCTGCACACGATAGTCACGCGTGATATGCGACCTAGTCATGTGTGCTGATCTGAAATAGATCGAGCTGGAAGGCCTACAACACATGACCATATGGGTTATACTTACAGAGACAGCCGTGAAGGCGCGCCGTCAGGTGGGGATTGCTCTGGGTTCAACTGGCCTCATGATTTGCTGCAGTCTGTCACATCCTAACAAAAGATGAATACAGTCATCATCATTCAGCTGTAGCACCCTTTCCGTGCCTAACTGCCATGCCACCCGAAGGAAGCACGAGTGCTAGGATTCTGCCAGGTTGCCCAAGCCTAGACCTGGGAAGTCGAGTAGCAGAGTCACGGGTCTTCCGGTCAGTAAATTCGCGCTCTAACCACTTAGCCACATCGCCCCCTAGCTACTGATGAGTACAGCAGCTACTAGAAATGTGCGTTGCTATCGTGCATGAATGGAACGGAGTCAACGCGCACAGCCATGCGTTTTTCTATTAACAATGTCGTGACATGTAGTTACGCCCCCAGAGGGAATGATTTTATCCAATTAAAAGTTTCTGCTATGCAGAATACCCCCTCAGAAGCACGAAACTTCCCAGAACGCAACAAGAGATGACCTACGAGAAACCTTTAGCCGCTAAGGTGAGATGTCTTTTCGTCATCACCCAAGTAATTCACAACGGTCTCAATTTGCGCCTTATCTAGAAATTCTGTGGAACAACTTCGGCCAAACGAGGTGGGCATCTGCTGCCGAAATCCGCATAGTTGACTGGTGTATGCATGCCAGCAGTAGGGACTGAACTCACAAGAGGCACCCACTTCACCTGTTTTGCAAAAAAGGTCTGCGCAGTTTGCTGAAGTAGCTCGCTTAGCTACTGCACCCTAATGTCGGAGCTTGAAGTAATTCACACCAGTGTCGTATAGGTTAAGCGCCTGACACGTTATTTGGTAACCCCCGACCATATGATCGCCCATCGCTTCTTACCGTTTTCAGCCGAAAGATAAATATTTTGTGAACAGAGTCAACGAACACCTGTTTCACCACGTTTTCCGCGTATATTGTTCCAAGGGTCTGTTAATGGTGTGGTGTCAGTGCACTTCTCAGGTTACAACAAATTTCGTTCTCGTAGTATCATTTATCGCTGGAAATCTTTCTTGTTGTGAGTGTCTGCTAGTGAATCTGTGTGGTCTACCCAATTCGTATTCCTTTTACCAATGAAGCTGTTTGTACGTGTTTTATCATCCACATGGTTACTCAGTTGTTTGCTGTTAGTGAACGTAGTTTACATTTACGAGAGATTAGAAGGTCGAGCCGTGAATGCCACACATGGTAAACGTCCTCATGGTCCACATATAACGTGGCACGTTCTATCTACACGTGCGCCTGTCTGTCCCATCTGGCTGTTTGTACAACCGACACATACGCCTGATTGTCTGTCTAGCGGGTGATCGCCCTCAGTTGAATGTGTTCGTGTGTAATATAGCGCGCTTGACTTCTGTTTTTCGATTAGGTAGTCACAGATCGCGTGATTTGGCTCAGACACTTGGCAGCGTTTAGTGACGAATTTTGAATCCGTACACGATGCGATTCCGGTCATTTTCTGTCACTTATTTTCCGCCTGATGGGGCTGTCTCATGGTCAGTGGTAATTTTTCAGTACTGTTGCTGCGTTGTACGGTTTGGTTTCATACGAAGAACAAAACCGTTCCTAATACGTGGTTGTGCCGTGTGTTCGATCCACAAGTTGAATTTTACCCCGATCTTACCGTACTGGCCCCTTTGCTAGCCACTACGCTCCATTAGTTTATTTAATGATCGCTTGCTGGAACGTTTCAAGCAAACACTCCTTTCGAATAAAGTACACAAGAATGTCTAGCTTGAATTTACCTTATGTTTGCACGTTTTATCGGGGAAAGTTAACCGCTCCGGGAAATTAACCAAGAATAGGCTGTTCAGCTTCTCAGGTCTAGCGTAGTTGTATTTTGCTAAGATGGTCTCCAGTTTGTTTAATTTTACCCCATAATGATACTTTTCCGTAACACGCAAGAATTTGAAGACGTGTTCAATGGTCGTAGTGATTGTGGTCTTGCTGGATGACCGTTCAACAACCAGCGCGCTGACAGCTGTGCCCACACGCTAGTCATTAGTCCGCGTCGTGGCGTTTGCCCTGCTTTAAAAAAAAAATCAGCTCCCTTTCAGGTCTCTTTACGGTCGGCCGGGACCAAATAAATTCGTGGTCTCTGAGAGGTAACTGGCTTTTCTGAGCATGACAAGATGTCTCTGTGAGAAACGTTATTGGAGCTATGGAGTCTCCTAGAATCTGAGAGAGTCTGGCATGGTCATCTAGTGGGTGACTTTTCTGAAGGCCCTTTTTCGAAGTCTTCTGCACTACCTCAATCCCACAGACTGACCCCGTACTCATTTGAACACCATCTGCCTCATTACGGTCAAGAACTCAGTTTCATGGCCAGTCTGACCTCCCGTCTGTGTTCCTTCCGACACATTTCACCCGGAGGTTATGCGTGGAAATTGGTGACCGCTTACTGTGGTGGAGTAGCTGTAAATCGACTGATATGGCGAATGATTATTAACGAGAGATGAGGGAAAACATGTTTATATGCCCTGAAGAGTTGGATCACTGATCCATTCGGTTAACTGGATGAATGGGTTGGTCATACTTATATGGAAGAAAGAAATCAATTGAGCTTTCCAGCCGTAGAGCCTGCTATCTGACGCGGTAATAATCAGTACCTGTATTCCAAGAAGTGGGCCAATTTACAGTGGGTAAGTACGACGGCTGAACTATAGTTGCTTGCTATCAAACTTTACGGTAAAGGTTTTCATGAAATACACAAAACAGCCACTCGGATAGTGTACCTTGCGAAAGATGTGAAAGTCGGCTGTGATTTTTGCCATCCGTTTCGAATAATTAAAATTGGACTTTGTTTACTGGGGGTGCATCATTCTCAGTACCCATCCCATACTCTTATTAAATTATTCCTTCTGAAGGGGAATCCTGGATTGTATCGAATATGGTGCTGTTTACCTGCTCTCGTAACCCTATCTGGCGGTGTGTTCCAACCCGGGTTCTCGGAGTAATTTTCCATTAGCAAGAGTTATGCCAACAATCAACTTGTTGCCACAATCATTCTTCTTGGTGTCTTGAAGCCACAGTATTTGGCCAACACTGATTGAATTTAAGGTCCATACAGTTTGGACCTGGTCTCACATTAAAGCGGTACGGCAATGAGTTTGTTGGTTAAGTGGTGTCGGGACATTTGGAAATTTTATGGTAACCAGCTTGAGAGGCTCTTTCGATCGGGTCCTTTATCCAACGCTGTTCAGTGCTTCTTAGTAAACTGGTATTTACTCAGAACACTGAGTACGGTGTTCATCTGTTTTGTGTTGAACCAAGAATACCACCATTCTTTTGGCCGTATGTAGTTCGACCTCGCCTAACCTTCCTAATCTTACAGACAGCCAATTTCGAGTTACACTGCGCAAATCAAGCGAAGGTAGCAAGTTACCCCAGGGCACCCAGGGTAGCCTTCATGTTCAGCATTGGAGACTATGTTTGATTGGTGAACCGTTGGCCGGGTGCAAGTTTATATGCTCCTGGAAACTGGACTCAATTGAGAAAGCATACACAATGACGCTTCCTGCCACCAACGTGTGCCCAGTCAAGTCTGGTACAGCCGAATCCCACGGACCCAAATGGTCTTTTTCTGGCGATGTCTCTCAACGGACCTCTGTCGCAAGCTTATCTGGTTTCACAGGCCATATGACAAGTGCATCTGTTGGTTCACAGCCTCCGAAGCCCAAGCAGTCCTTCATTCTCGAGGCTTCAAATTCTGCCGGAAAAGGTTCGTTCCTATTCCCTAGCTTGTATCAATATCTGCCCTTGTTACCTAACAGTGTTTTGAGTTCAACAGAGTCCCTTTTCTGTTTGTTATTCTGCTTTATGTTCAGTATAGGGCTTTTTGAAATAAACCTCGTTGTGCGACCGTGGGGCGCCAGAGGTAACACTGATGATTACTATTCGCGTACATTGGTATTCTCGTGTCATCTGGAGAGCTTGTCCTCTCGGGTACTTGTAATACACGGTTGTCGAGATGTTACGATTTTATACTTTGCTCATTGCTAAACTATGCTGTCACCGTGAATACAGTATTGATCTTCAAGACGTATCACCTTGAGGCCATCCAACTTTCATAACGGAAAGCTACCCAATCGAGGGTCGCTAGACTCAGCCTTACTATTTCAAGGAGCAACAGTGCGTTGTTCATTTAAACTCGTGCTATTCGAAATTGAAGGACCGAAATTTCAACGAGTACCTAGTGATTACTCTGACGCGTTTAGATATGAGATACTCACAACACTGAACACTAAAGGAAAAACATTGCGATTGTAGACTTTGTTTTTGCTTCAAGAATGGGGGAATCGAGCAGTTTGGTGTCTCTGAACTGAAGATAAATCACTTGATTTTGTCGTGGTCCCTTAATGACGAATCAAAAGAATGTTTTATGGAAAGAAATGCGGACAGTTCCGCAATACATGGCAAAACGTTCAAGCTGGGAATAAATGGTTTTTCAGTACTATAAATCATGAATGAGCTGTCAAACGGAAGACCTCGGGTCCATAGCTTGATAGCTGAAGCGTACGGGGTTTCATTCCTTTAACGCAACGTAGGTCAGAATTTAAAACTCTCCTATCTGTAGGTTAAGTTAGATGCACCGATGCGGTCTATGGACGTCTCGGTGACCGTATTTGCTTGGTAACTTGAAATTCATACCGAATAAAGAGTTCTCAAGCATTTTGCTAAAAAATATAGCACCCTATAACTTCTGTACGATGAACAAGCGCGTCACCGACTGCAACTGTCCAGTGTAGTTCCAGACGGGGCATTCTGCTTACCTCAGTCTTTTGTAGCAGTGGAATAGCAAAGTCCTTCAAAGGCATCTTCCGACAATGCTTTTGATCCTTACAAAGCCAATCATTGTTCAGTTATCCACACAATCTTCGTCGTGAGGTTTGCTGCAGTCTGATTGGTTCATATTTTTCGTGAGTGGACGGCTGTTTTACTTTTCAGGACGTGGTACACACACTTTTGAGTTGGAAGGTGGTTCGTTGGTAGAGCTCACTACGGTCATCGAACAGTTTATGGCGAGACGCTATTATCCGGATCGTGACACTCTTCGTGAATCTGCGACGAAAGACCCGTTTCCTGCTTCTGTGGCCGTTACCCGTCGGGGTTTGACGCTTGACCCAAATGTCCAATCTTCTGCGGTCACTTCTCTTCAGGCCCCACAACCGCATCTGTCCTCTTCCCCAGATGGTTGGGGTAGCCGTCATTCTGTTTCCCCTGCGCAGAATTTCGCTCGAACTCAGCAGCAAATGACCGCTCAGCCAAGCCCTCTGAGTATGCCGACCGGCTTCGCTGCATCTGGAGCGAACATATGGACTGGTCTTGACACGAACGTCTATAGGCGGTCCGCGCAAACCTTGCCGTCCAACCGATTTGCTAAACCCTCTGGATTTTATTCAAATCTGATACCCTGTGCCTCCTCTCTTTCACCTCCGGACTTTTTGACAGGAGCGGATAACCACACAGAAAACAGCACCGTTCACCTCAGGACGAAGACTACGGGGTTTGACTGCCCCCAGGCGCCGTTTTATAATTTCTCGCAGAGATCGACCGAACCAGCCGTAGATTATGGTGAGATGTTATGCAATAATTGCACGTTGGATTCTATTATTTTTCCGAATTACCTGTGAAGCATTATTCTTAAGCACTGTGGTTGACGGGACTGACGTGGATGAAACCTTTCACATTGTTTAGAATATCCCTGAGAATCAACGGCGAGGCCATCTGTTTTCCCTATACCAGGTGATTTGTTGCATTGTTTTCCGAAGCGGTCTGATTGGAGGATGTCTTTTGACCCAGATACGAATCATGACAAACCTAATAATGGGTTTTAGTGATCCCGGTTCGTTCTGTCTACGAGGTCGGTGAACCAGGGCACGCTTTGTAATTTGACGCCATCATGCATTCGCTTATGTATTCACTAAACCTCTGTCCATTTTTCTGACGTTTTTGTTTGGCTCCCTCCTGTTCAAGTTACGTTGCTGCCAAACGACGTGGTGACCTACACTACACCGAACATAGTAGCGTTGTCCCCCCTCCCCCGGAAGTGGGTCGGACTGGTGACTCAAAGCCTGTTTAAACTATCTGGACAAATCAAATCTCCGAGTCAAAATCATATCCTCTTTACGGAGTAGAACCCCCACTATGAGTTCCTCCCACTCATTATTGCTTATGCTCCTCCATTCGTACATTAGTTGTAGAATATTTATGTATCATTTACTGGTGTTGGTGAACAGTGTGCGTTACTGGAAACAGGGTTATCGCTGAGAGCAATACAATGGTAGTAAATCCTGAAAATGATAAGATAAGAACGTATGATGAAAGGGTTAATACGGGCAAAGGTTTGGGCCTAGTGCAGAAGAAGCCTGGTGTTCCCTGGGGAAACAACTAAAAATAGAATGCACATATCTCCCAAGAACATTCAAGTTAATGCACCACAGAGAGATTCCACCGGCGAGACTGACTCGGCATCCTTTGTGAACCTTACTCAACATAAACGTAGCACACACGATGTACGTTCTGGCTGGTGGGTGGCAGCGTGACCGTCACTGTATTCATTTACGTGCCACTTCTCCCAATATTTCTGACCGTGTTCATTGAGGGCACATGGCCTCCATCCTGGACGAGTTGAAAATTTCGTAATGTCCGTTTTGGCTGTCATGGCTTTCATTTCGCATCGCCATATCATGGTCAGTTCCTTGCGAACTTTTCTCCTTCACGTGTTTCGAATGGGAAACGAAGTACCGCTTCCCATTCACTCCAGCATCACGCACCATTTCAGCGTAGGTACCACAATCGATTCGCCTACACTATCCTGCAAATTGACTAGTACCCCAATTTCTTAAGAAAGTAATTTTTTGAATCAGGGTCGATTGTAGGTACCCCTGTTTTCTGCCGTTGTACACGAAATCCGCAGAGATGAGTAAGGTATGTGTTGCAAAATATCGGCAATGCGAACTCGGAGCTATGGAGAGGCAGTTTTGAAATGCCAGTTATTTTTGAGGTCCTTTAAGATATTGCAGATTTTTCCCATCCCCTATCGATTTTTAGTTACGATATACATTACTTGTATCATGACATGGTTGGATATAGAAGAGTACTTTAGCAAGGATGAGAGGAAAACAGGAAAGAAATCACAGGTGACCGTAAGATACACCTAATTGCTGAAGAATTTAAACTGCTTGCTAAAGTATGAGACAGATTATCACGATGAATTGTGCTAAATTAACGCTGAGAGGCAAATTTCGTCGAAGACCAATGATAAATTATTTCCTAGAGCTTCTTTATGTATATTCTGCTCACCACTATTTGATTCGGTAAACTACGTCCGAAGGAGGTCCGCTCTTCACGAGGTATCGTGAATTACATTTTTTCTCCTGGTCTCCCGAGAAGAATTCCTGTAGCTGGTTGCTTACTGAACTGAAAGTTTCACTGTATGTCTTTCCTAAAAGCTTTTCTTCCGTCTAATTCTGCGATGTTCGAATTATCTGGCGTACTGCTTTTTCTCAGGCATCCCGTTTGAGGAGGTGATGGAGGTGTGCGACACATCTCACGTTACTTCGATGAACCACACATCTACTTTGGCAAATGCTCGTGATACGAGTACGATCACTTCCAGTCTATCGCGAAAGTCGTTTACCCCACGATCGATTGCCTCATGTGCACCATCTGTTCGAACCCCCTTGTCCGGTTACGGTGAAATGGATGACGAAACTCAGGTCGCACGGGTTGCTGCTGGTCTTATCATACCGAAAATTTTAGCTTCCCCCCTGACACAAACAACGGGACGATTAAAACGACCTGTTGTTTCAAACGAGCCACCACTACTCTCGTCCAAGGGTCTTTTACGGCGCGTTGAGTGTGAGGCCACGGAAGCGTCCGTCACCCATCCCGACCAGTTTCGTGGATCGACCCTCGAATCAAATCCTTGTTACACCTCTCCTAGAATTCCCGATCCTAGATCTTTGCCGACGTCCAATCAGATGCCCCGTCACAAGCCATCCACCCGCCCTGTGGGACGCCGCTCTGAGGTTGCCACAAAGAATGCAACAAGTAAAAACGTGGCCGGTAGACCAGAGAGCGACGTTCAGAATCATGAGCTTTCGCCTGTTTGTTGTTTTACACAACATGGTGTGTTCACTGCAGACGAGGATCTTTGGGACGCAGGTATGTCCCATTCGAAATAGTCAGTCTTGAATTGGTCACTCACTATTTTCCTATTATGTTCTCGCTCTAAGACTATGTCTTTCGCACATGTAATACTCTCAGCTTCCGGGTGTCATCAAAATTGTGTGTTGTGTCTTCGTGAATATAGATCATTCCGTACTTACATGGTACTGAACTCAGCTGGGTTGGTTTAATGTTTGCGGTGCATTTTTTTCAAGTATATTTCAATCTTCTTCCCAAAACAGAGCAATGCGATCCTTCTCGAGGAGACCTCACAGATTCAGCACTTCAGCATCCTCCTGTACAATCAAAGTCCAACCAACAAGTCTTGCCGGTGGCTTCTAACCCCAAGCTATTGTCATCGAAAGACCTGGCAATCGTTTGCCAATGGTGTGGGCGAAAGAAGGGTGTATCTGATAATGCTGGGTACCAAGTATATCGACACCGTTGTCAACAATACAGAGTATGTTGGTGCCATACATACGTTGGCCGTTCACTGTCGGCTGACGCTTTGCTGCTTCTTGATATCATTGTTTCGGATCAGTATGAACGCTTCTTATCTCTATATCAGAATTCACTTCTCAATGATCGATCGGAACGACCCTCAGAAGAGATGAAATTTCCTTTTGAACCAGTAAGAACACAGCCAATGACATGTCCTCCAAGGTACTCCATCAGTCTGACGTCGCGACAGCTCATGTCTAAGACATGCGGTGCCATCCGTTGGAAACAGCTTCACCGGTAAGTCTCTCACTCGTTCCCGTTCACTTAGTATGATCGGACTTCATCCCCAGCGTCCTTACAGATGCCATTTTCCCACGAGTATACCATCCAAGTTTCACAAAATTTCAAATTCGGGTGGTATTACTTCAGTCGTGCCGTACGTGATAAATCAATGACACTTGATCTATTGTTATTCCAGGGTACGGTACTCTTACATTACTCTTACATTCTGCTCACCGAATTACCTCAGTTTGTTGTATGGACTCAGCTTAGTTACCTTGGTTTTAGGTACCTACTTCTGAAATCCGGTGTGATGGCCCGTAATGTTTTGGTTGTCGGTTCACTTCTGAGTAACTGCTTAAGACAAATATGGACCATGAGTAGATCTTTATGATTTCTCTTATATGCATTGGTTTATCTTGAGAATTCACAGACCTTTTGAACCTGCATCAAAATGCGACCCAATCAAACCAATAGCTTGTTTGGGACTTGTTGCTCGTTTCGTGTTAGTACCTTGGCAGTGTGTATCGTAGTAAATTTGCAGATGGCAGGCGATGGCTTTGAGATTGATTCGGATCGCCTCAGTCATGCCCTCAGACTTAAATTTCAGTTGGGTGTTGCGCTGCATTCCGACAGTTTCCTTCCTCTAAGGGACTATCTGGACAAGATATGGGTTACAGTGCCTCTTTTTCAAGCGCCACTTGGTCCGGAGAATCTGCTCAAGTTCCTCAGTGCACTCCACTCCCATTATGAACTCCAAGTTTTCAACAATTCTGATCATTTTGCGTCCGCTGACGGGTCTTTGTTAATGCTAGCGAAAATGTTAAAAACATTCAAGCTCCCGTTTAACAGCATTTATCGTGACTCTCACAGGGTACCGGAATGATCAAGATATTCCTTAGACTCACATTGTGGAATTCGCCAACAACTTTGCCTACTCGAAAGCGAAGGCGGTCATTCTTACCTTCTCTTTATTTTCTTGGTCCATCTGGCAAGCACCAATCCTATGGGAATTGGGGCTGAAAATGGTGGGCTTGACCTTATGTGCCCAGAAGGAACTGCAGTTTCAGACGGCCAGGCTACTCAGTGGAGCCGTTTGCTTCCACCTGCTATGCTACTGTATTCTCTTTTGTGATGATTTAACCGACATATGCTACCCGATTGGGATCGTTCCTTTCTGAGGGAACAGATTTTCACAACCGTAAGCAAAACGGCTGCGGAAACAAGAGAGAGCTCACATGAAGCTCAGCGGCGTGAAGAGTCTATTCTGCTTGATAATAATGCGGCCAAACCGTTTCGCAAGACAGTATGCAAAATAGAAATTATCGGGCTTTTGTAGCGACCTCAAATACTCATGGGACTTCATAAGTCTGTAAGGCGGAAATGGACAGACTCAACTACGACTCTACTGTTTTTGAAGTTTCGAGGAAGCCTTGTGAGGCAAATGATCCCGATATTGTACTCCCCGTCCCAACATGTTGCGGTGCTTTCGACCGCAGCGGTGTAATTTTTGGCATGTGGCTGTTTTATTGGCCGAAAACCTTGGAGAGATAGTATTCCTCATAGCATCCATCTCTTATCCTCATACTTTTCTCCAAGGTTTCGCGTGAAAAATCAGCCGTTAAAGTTCCATTGCACCAGAGGTGACGCAATCGACCCGTCGCCATCTCGGTTGGTGTTGAAACGTTAGCAATCAAATGGCTCTGCTCAGAGGACGAAGTCATGACTAACTGTATCATCTGATCCACCAGAATCATCACATCACATCAAGTAAAGCACTTCGATATCGCGAAACGTGATGAGGTCTCTGCAGCACGTTAGGTTAAAGAATGTAATAAACCGGTGCTTCAGCTGGGGTCGAGTTGAGTCTCTCATTAACATACAGTTAATTTGTAAATGAGTGTATGCCTTCAATTCGCTTGACTTTCAAATGAACAGTAAAATCGGTGGAATTTTGAAGACTAGGCTTATCTGGTGCGCCTTCAGAGAGTGGAAACTGGAAGTGGGCTGTCAAATGTTATGGCTAATCTCATTTCAAAGAATTGTCTCATTCTGTTCGTTTTTTGGTTAACCGCAGCTCTGCCGTCATCAAATTTGAATAGCTGATTTTGTGGCGATTGTTCGGTTCACAATATCACATTCGTTTCCGTTCACTAGTATCATCTGAACTTATTGCGTTGCACCGCTAAAATCCAGTATCTGGATACAGAACGCTTTTTCCTGAACTGACGATTGCAGCAGTCTTGGTTCTTACTTTTTCCCAGGACTACTGTCGACCACAAACAGGCTCTTTTTTATCATTTCTCTTCATTCTCTGGACTATCAGTGTTCTTTCGGTGTCCGCTTTCAGTTTATTCCACCGAAAACAGTCCAAGAGTCATGACAATATCGATCGTGAATGTAATTGCTTGGGCAGTACGGACATAGATAAGAAGCCCGTGTTTTCTTCCTCAATGACGGAGGCAGAGTTAGGATTTGATGCGTGCCCGAGCGATTTAGATTTCAAGCCTCAGAGTGCTGACCCACATAAACGACCGGACGCGGACCCACAGGCTGATGGCCGTCCGTCTAGTTTGAAATCGCCTCCTCGGTTATCCATCCGTTGTCCGCGACATGGCCTTTTATTCTACCCTCCGCTGGTCCGATCGAGTGTTAATTCGCCGATACACCTTCCACTTTGTTCGCGCTGCCGGAAGCGCAAACGTCACCGTGCTTATCCTCCACCAGACTGCACAAACAGCACTAAAGCTGAAGTTTCCTACGCGGTTCCCGCTCATCGCTTCCCTGCCGTAACCGTTCCTTCAGTATCTGCTGCCCTTCGCACTTTCGTTCACCTTCGGCAGAAATCTCGTGAAAGCGGACCTTCAGTAGCTAAAATTGGTTCTTCTCGGAAGATCGCCGTTGGCATGAGGGACTCTCATACTCGAAGTGCAATCACACAGCCTGTGCCAGAAGGCGTCGAGTTTGAGGTTCAACGGGTACGTTCCCTTTGAACTTGGTCTCAGCATAGAGCCTAATCTCTATACTTTCTGTTGCTTATGTGTTCTGAGTTTTTTTGTCAGCAGATGTTGTCGGAGTTTCACGGGGGTTTTCAGAAGGCTTTCGCATCAAGTCTTCATTTATAAAACGACTCAGTGGATCCGTCTCACCATCGAGCTTCAAGATGGCATCTAAACAACAATCTCACATCATGGCCTCTGGTTGAGTATGCGTTCCACATCTTTCATTAAGTATAAAGTGCGACATGACGGTTTATTCAGCTCTCGCGTTTTGCATTCCTGTGTTAAGCAAATCATTCGCTGATCAATCAGCTGTCAACTAACCGTCAGTACCCACATTTCAGCTAACAGACATCTACTGGATTTGACTAATGGAAAGAAATAGTGATGGTTCATTTGTGTGTTCAGCTTTGTACTGTCAGATTTAGATTACAACAACAACAAAGGCAGTGCGTTTAACAATGGGTTAAGTTGTGTATTTTTCGGCTCAGATCGTCCTGCCTCAAGAAAACAATTCTCTTTGTTTAACCCGGAGTGAACTGAACAGAGCTGAGAAGTTGGAATGCTCAACTGCATATGCTGTAACTTGTTACTAAGATTGTGAGTGTAATTGTTGGTTCGTTTTTGGATCAGTCGCCTGTCCGAGTGTGTTTTGGGGGACACGCAGAGTACGGTTTGCTTCCCTAGACAGGGCAGTCGAGCGACAGAGGTCGGGTTCGAACCACGGACGTTCCGGCCAGTTAATTCACACTCTAACCACTGAACCATCTCGGCCCCATGAGCTCACTTAGGGATGGTTGCACATTTTCGGGTCATATTAGAGTTGCAGCAACCCAGCGGGTCACCGGTTAGTTGGTGAAGTCTGCGTGCAACACGACTTTTTTCTCATGGATTCATAAAACTGGCCATTAGGGCTAGCCGTTTGGTTTTGTCTTCCGTTTTACTTCAGTCGTTTAAAATCATTTTTGCTATTTCTTTAACCCAGCCGTCAGTCCATTCCACCCAATCGCCAGTTGATGCCTGTCCTCCACGCCCATCGGCACGTCCGCAACTCTGTTTGCAGCATCGGTATCTCTGTGACAACCGTCTTCACTGCCACCGGAGTGCACACTCTGCCTTGTCCCTTACTTCTCTTCCGTGTTCCGAGCCGGCATTGTCTGGTCCCCGAATACCATTCGGGTGTATGTCGGAGTTTGACACGCGCTCCTCTCGCTCCTCATTGTCTTCTTTGCTAACTTTCCGCTCCATATCCGGTTCCAGTTCGCTTATATCGGCTTGCCATGGTAGGAAGTTGACAGTCGACTCCTCTTCGCAACAGCACCTTGAGGGGACAGGACGTGGCCTGCAACGTGACACAAGAGACCTTTCAGAGGAGATTGGTAATTGTTCGTTATGTGATGATGAGTTATCTTCCGGTTCCATTTCGGCCTGCTATGAAGACCCTTATTCTTCTCACGAAAGACGCATGGTAGAGCCTTTTCGAACTGAATCGACAGCTAAAAATTTTGATGTTCCACAATCACCTTTACACACTCGCCCACGGCACAGTGATTTAAAAAATCGCACGTGCAATCAGGATTGTGGTACTGTAGTTGGACATGATAATGTGCACTTTCCTTGGGGACGTGGTACTCGTTCTTGGTCTCAATCAAAGTCCGGTCCATACCCAAAACTGTCAGATCAGGTCAACCCTGCTGCAGGTGATCACGCATCACTTTGTTTTGCCAGTTCAGGAGTAAGCTCGAACTGTCATTCATGCATACCAGATACCAGTCCCACTATTCAACCCGCACAACGAGCCAATACTCTTCCTAGCACGAAAGTGTTCCGTAGCAATTCAGAAAGGAAACCCTCTGATCCAAAAGTGGCCCACTCTTCCGAGGATGCTTCTGCGTCAAAGTGCCGTTTATCAAAGGACTCCAAAACTCTCAGCAGAGCAATGCAACCAGGTATTGGACTTGATCGATTTCTTCCACGGTTTGCACGCAGAGGATGTCATACACGTTACAACACAGCCAACATTGCCTCCAACGCACCTGACCCAGTACAACTAAGTAGAAAGCTCTCCAGTCAGTCGGATTTGGGGCTTGTTTCTCACTCACTTGATGATTTCGGTGGAACTGCTCCAGGATCAGCTCGGCCGTTCACCGAACCTGTAAGTGATTCTGTTCGCTGCTGGCAACCAGGCACCGTTTTTGTGGCTTCTAGATTTCTACAGAACCAAAGAAGGCGTGTTGATTAACTAGCGTTTTCTGCAACTCTTCCTGCAGTCATTCTGGTTACATGATCCAAGTTACTGGTCTATCAGTTTTATACGACGGTGGGTTTAATAATCAAACGACCTTAGACGTAGTCCATTGGTACCACGTCGTTTTGGTTAGCTTATCAATTTGTTGTAACGTCTAGGATGTACTTTCGAAGGCTTGTCGAGAGTGGCGTGTGCACCTGTCTCTTTTGAAGGTAGAGGACATGGTTTCTTATCCTGATGGTGATGTGCTCAGCAATAGCTAAAAAGTGTTCTTTTACCTCTGACTCTTTAGGACCTTCTAGATGATTTCGTAACGCGTCTTAAACTCACATTGACACTCGCCTTGAGCCACAGTGTTACTCGAAACAATATCGTATCTTTCATGCCCTCGGACCTCGTTTCTCCACAGATGTGATAATCCCACTAACACATTCTGTCGCGAAGCAGCAGGCTAGTGTGTAATGCACACAAGCTTAAGTTGGTCTCGAATAGAGAGGTCATCTTTCATCCCTGGGTCGGCTGTTTTTTGCCTAAGCTACCATCACTGAACAGCGGCTAGAAATACTTGTTACAGTGAGCGTTTTGGCTCACGGTGGACGTTTTCGCCCGGAAAGCTTCCCGTGAAAAAAGTGCCATCACAATTCACTATCGGTGATGACGTTGGTCTGTTGATCACATTTTTCCATACAAAATGTGTCTGGTGTTCGCTTTTTTTTAACGATATTTCCGTAGTATCTCATTCCTACCGTCACTGAACAAGAACAGGCTAGGTTGCAATTCAGCCGTATGCATAGAGGCCCCGCCCACGTTGTTTTTCGTTACACCGGACTTTGTTAACAAAAATCTAACCGCTCATCTGATGGCATTTTGAGGAAGTGAAAAAGTGTTTCATAGTTTAATGTGCATGATTGACCAGAAAGTCAACCCTGTTAACTGGTCGGGTGTCACCAAAAGTGTTTTTATCGTTGTGATTTTGGTAAAGGCAGTCAGTGCTGCTGTTTCACAGCTGATGGTTACAATTTTCCAGTTTGCTATTGGATGTATGCTAGCAAACGACCATAAGAAGGCAGTCGGTGATTAATAAATCCTGCGTCTCGGCCAGCCACTTCGCAGGTACGTGATGTAGGAAGTTACATATTTCTAGGAGTGGACGTAAAAGTCAACTCTCGTGTAGGGAGCCCACATGTCTGTGAAGTATTACATCCAGTCGACTTTTCTAGTCTTGTGATGTAAGTTCATCATATTTCCGACCTTTCTCGCCAACTGGCTAAAAGAAAATGTTCGGTGTACCTTCGAATTGATCGGAAAACTACAGAATATGTTAGTTCGTCTTTACGCTATTCCATCATCTCGTTTGTTAGCATCCATTCTGTGGATCATGATTAGTCTTGTGTGGAAGTAGGACAGCTGCTGTTACTGGTTTCTTTCCCTGTATAAATGGCACTGCTGTCTTCAACCGCTGGCATCTTCCGTGTGATTGTGTGTTTTGTGGCCCGGCGTCGTATGTCTGCGAAACTAACTATTCTGATTAAACCTTGCTCCTTAACTCCAACTTAACCGAGAACACGGAGAACTCACTGCCTGTCGCGACACGTAAGGATGACTGTAGCGAGTGCTGCACAGGTGGTCTCCATTCTATTTCGGTCGACAGTATCACCGGGACTGACACAAGCAGTTACTTGTGTGTCATCGCGAACGTTGGCTACTCTTTGGTAGTAAACTGTCTAGATTTACAGTAGTGTAATCCTGACATCCAACAAAGTTGACCCATTGAGCCACTTCATTCTCATGTGTATCTGTTGGGTTTGGTTGGTAAAGCGAGCTAGGTATTCCACCCACAAATACTCTGACTGGCTGTTTTGGAAAACCTTTTCGCACACCCGAATGACGTATCAAGGGGTAATGGTTTGCGCTGACGATTATCAGCACTGTTGCGACTCCGTTCACATTTGTATGGTCGTATTTCTAATCTAGGGTGAAGATGCATTGATATTGGCTCTCCTGCGACTTGGATAGGCTCCACGCTAGGTCGGAATTCCGGGGAGCAACCAGAACTAACCGATGAAATGCCAGCTAGGAACATGTAATCTCGAACTAACTCATTTTCAAATGGACCGGTGTTTTTTAGAAGAAACCATCATTGACGCCGCTGGTTTACCGGTTACGCTATGTGGATTAAATCTGATGAGCCACATTCCGTGTTATCTCCATTCAGCAAGTATAGAGTGTCCTTTCGGGGTTTACTGTTGCTCTTTCATCGTCTTCCTTCGTTTTGCGATTTTCAGACCAGCTACTGTAATATCACTCCAGTACAGCACAGTTCAACCAACTACCGGCTTGAGCTACCGAAACACGAAAGCACTCAGTCAGCTAAAATTCCGACACTGCGATCTCATCAGTCCGAATCATCAGAAACGAATTCCAATCTATATGTCAATCTGTCCGTAGCCGTTTCTCGTCCGAGCGGTCACTCCAGTTCCGGGCGAGGTACCAAGCAATTATTACAGAACGTACGGCAGTCCGTCGTTTCCTCCAGAAAGGGAGTCACTTCAACTAACACAACAGAGCCTTCGTTACAATCATCCTCACTGCCAAGCACAGCAAGTGTAACGGAGTCACGACCTGTTCGGACCAGCTGCGGGCATGTGCGGCATCCATCTGTTCTGGAAGGTGGATTTCCTCCATCCAGTGTGGTCACCGACGATCAGGTCTACACACTGAATCTGTCAGTTGGCATCGGATCATCTGACCTGTCAAATCTCCCGGCTGAGGTAAGTATCCCTTTCCATAGTGTTGACATTAGTTGTGAAGTAAGAGGCACTTCGTGGCATCTTTGGAATTCTACAGTTCCTGCTTTGTGCCTTTCCGAATATTTCCATGGTGTCATTTCGTGTTCACGCCATTTCGTTCTGTAGAATGTGTCAACTGCAACGATTGTTCTAAGGTTTATATAAGACAAACTGCCAGGGAATTGCACACCAGAATTAGTGAGCATAAAAGAAGGATTAACAAGCCACCAAGGAATGCAGAAGAATACCAAACGCTGGTCAAAGACTCAGCGATGGCGGTACATGCCTTAGACACGGGACATAGAATAGATCTGGAGAATGTGGAAGCCTTAAGACGGGGACTGCGATTCACACCACAACGGCTGATAGCCGAGGCGGTGGAAATCACTAAGCATCACGGCCTGAACAGAATCGAGGGTGTGGAGCTAGCGAGCGTATGGAAAGCGGTCTTAGATAAGCCGAGTTGACACGTGACGGTGTGGTTGTCAATCCACTTAGGATCATTAGAAAAAACCGGGGGGTAGGGGTGGAAACCCCAACCGACCAAAGGTCACAGCATCCCTCCTACACAACTTCCTTAGCACTAGCTCACCCACACAGACTAACTGAAGGTTCAAACGGAGTTCAAGAGGAACCATCAAATGAACCGAACCAGAAGAACTAGACCCTAGGCAGGATCCAAACACATGTAGGTTTCCCCACCGACCCAACACTTGTTCAGTCACTCTAACACATTAAAATCCCTCGGCCGACACCCAACAGAGATTTAGCTTGACCTAGCTGATTGGTTCTCCTTCCGCCTTAAATCTCGATCAACCTCGGAACCTAGTCACTTGGCCTGACGAAGCTTTTGTGTCAAAAGCGAAACGTTGCCCAGCAATAAATCTACCGATTGTCACCAAACTTTTTCGAAAACAGTGTGCCAACTTGTTCTGACCTATCGGTCCATTGCTTCCGATCTATTGGTGGAGCGACCAAGCCATCCACGATCCAATTATTCCGCTAATCGACTGCGTAACTCTCCAGTATATTCAACAGTATTGTTGCCGGAAATTTCTTTTTTTAAAAATACACCTGGCCATCCCGTTGTTCTCTACTGATATGATCAAATGCTGTGCTGCCAATTTAAGCGAGCTTTGTGGTTTAGCACTGTACACGGAGCTGTAGGATGGCTGAGTGAGTGGCACTCTCTTATAAGTCAACTTCTCACAGAGTGCACGAACGTCCCGATTTGACGCAAGTGTGTTCCTAATTACTACCTGTCGTGTAATCTGAATTGTCTTGTTGTTGACACCCACAGTCGACATATATTTCGATAAACTGTGTTGTAATTTGGAAGATTCCTGTGCTTTCATTAAGAGCAACATAAATATGATCAAGGTGATCCTTCTGGCGTTGTCGTCACTATCAGATATAAATAACCCCGATAAAAAGCGTATGAGCACTTTCTTTTTTTAGCACATCTTCCACAGTTCGAGGCTTAGAAGATTGTAAATGTGTGACAACTTTTAAAGCATTCAATCGAATGTTGACTTATGGAAACAGTGGCAAAATTATGAGTGTAGCAATGCAGTCTTCGACCATATTGGCTACTGATTGGTTGGATACGATACTTTTCCTCGACGGGATGGCCTCTTTGTCATCCGAGCCCGAACAGAAATGAAAACGATCGATAATAAAATATTCCTGGCACCTGGGTTGGATTCACCGGTCAGAAGTGGTCAAAACTCTCAGCCTCCGTGCATGGCGGGATGGCCAGATGCGTCTTTCTTCGAACCGAATATTGTGCTGCATACAAACCATTGACGCCGATGTAGACTCGAGGGAATAGGATCAGCAGGGGAGTGTGCAGATGCTCGTTACAAGTCGTCGGTCAGTACACCCTTGGGCTGGGTTAGCCCCCACTCACATTCGGGTTAGAGGTCAAAGCCTCGTCATGGAATATCTGAAATAAGCCCTTATTTCCAGGCTCCGCAGTTGACGAGCATCACCTCCCCACACGACGCGGACCGTAAAGAGAAGAAAGACGCGTCTTCTACCCGGAACATTGGGCGGAAGAGAGGCCTGAAAGGTGAGTCGTCCCTTTTGAGAAGGTACTCAAACTCTGCACTCAGTGAGACTGAGACTCTGACCGATTACGGAAGGCAAAGTGTGACTCTCTCTTGTTATACCTTCTACTGAGTGGAACAACACAAAAAAGTCGATATGAAAATGGTGTCGGTTCTCAGTTGCACAATACATGAAAGGCGCAGTGGATCAGCCGGTGTTCAGTCCGAGAATGATGGCCATCCGTTTCCGGCGCTCAGTGGCAAGGTTTGCCACATTCTTCCGCGCCTATGCCTAACAATCCCCAGAGTAAAAAGAACAAACTCTGTGGCCGGTTGTCGGAACTGATTGAGTCTGCATCACCAAGCGACTCTGTCTTTCTGGTGGTTGATTTCATTACTCAATTTGGCAATGATTCGAAAACCTGGAAGAATATATACGTCCTGCGGCATCGGTTCAAGGATCTCTTGTCCTTAGTATAGGCATTTCTAAAGCGTTTTCATTTAAACAGCATGCACCGGGGCTCAACATGAGACGTTACATAAATGGATGTGAGGGAGCGTGCTGCACAGGCTTCTGCTATAACCTGAAAGTGGAATGATGCGTGAATCCCCAGAGGCACCATGACGCCTCTTCGTTTTGAGGAACGCGTCTGATACAGTTGTTACCTGCGCGTAAGCGACCAGAGTGCAATTTATCGTACCGTACGAAGCTTTTGTGTCAAAAGCGAAACGTTGCCCAGCAATAAATCTACCGATTGTCACCAAACTTTTTCGAAAACAGTGTGCCAACTTGTTCTGACCTATCGGTCCATTGCTTCCGATCTATTGGTGGAGCGACCAAGCCATCCACGATCCAATTATTCCGCTAATCGACTGCGTAACTCTCCAGTATATTCAACAGTATTGTTGCCGGAAATTTCTTTTTTTAAAAATACACCTGGCCATCCCGTTGTTCTCTACTGATATGATCAAATGCTGTGCTGCCAATTTAAGCGAGCTTTGTGGTTTAGCACTGTACACGGAGCTGTAGGATGGCTGAGTGAGTGGCACTCTCTTATAAGTCAACTTCTCACAGAGTGCACGAACGTCCCGATTTGACGCAAGTGTGTTCCTAATTACTACCTGTCGTGTAATCTGAATTGTCTTGTTGTTGACACCCACAGTCGACATATATTTCGATAAACTGTGTTGTAATTTGGAAGATTCCTGTGCTTTCATTAAGAGCAACATAAATATGATCAAGGTGATCCTTCTGGCGTTGTCGTCACTATCAGATATAAATAACCCCGATAAAAAGCGTATGAGCACTTTCTTTTTTTAGCACATCTTCCACAGTTCGAGGCTTAGAAGATTGTAAATGTGTGACAACTTTTAAAGCATTCAATCGAATGTTGACTTATGGAAACAGTGGCAAAATTATGAGTGTAGCAATGCAGTCTTCGACCATATTGGCTACTGATTGGTTGGATACGATACTTTTCCTCGACGGGATGGCCTCTTTGTCATCCGAGCCCGAACAGAAATGAAAACGATCGATAATAAAATATTCCTGGCACCTGGGTTGGATTCACCGGTCAGAAGTGGTCAAAACTCTCAGCCTCCGTGCATGGCGGGATGGCCAGATGCGTCTTTCTTCGAACCGAATATTGTGCTGCATACAAACCATTGACGCCGATGTAGACTCGAGGGAATAGGATCAGCAGGGGAGTGTGCAGATGCTCGTTACAAGTCGTCGGTCAGTACACCCTTGGGCTGGGTTAGCCCCCACTCACATTCGGGTTAGAGGTCAAAGCCTCGTCATGGAATATCTGAAATAAGCCCTTATTTCCAGGCTCCGCAGTTGACGAGCATCACCTCCCCACACGACGCGGACCGTAAAGAGAAGAAAGACGCGTCTTCTACCCGGAACATTGGGCGGAAGAGAGGCCTGAAAGGTGAGTCGTCCCTTTTGAGAAGGTACTCAAACTCTGCACTCAGTGAGACTGAGACTCTGACCGATTACGGAAGGCAAAGTGTGACTCTCTCTTGTTATACCTTCTACTGAGTGGAACAACACAAAAAAGTCGATATGAAAATGGTGTCGGTTCTCAGTTGCACAATACATGAAAGGCGCAGTGGATCAGCCGGTGTTCAGTCCGAGAATGATGGCCATCCGTTTCCGGCGCTCAGTGGCAAGGTTTGCCACATTCTTCCGCGCCTATGCCTAACAATCCCCAGAGTAAAAAGAACAAACTCTGTGGCCGGTTGTCGGAACTGATTGAGTCTGCATCACCAAGCGACTCTGTCTTTCTGGTGGTTGATTTCATTACTCAATTTGGCAATGATTCGAAAACCTGGAAGAATATATACGTCCTGCGGCATCGGTTCAAGGATCTCTTGTCCTTAGTATAGGCATTTCTAAAGCGTTTTCATTTAAACAGCATGCACCGGGGCTCAACATGAGACGTTACATAAATGGATGTGAGGGAGCGTGCTGCACAGGCTTCTGCTATAACCTGAAAGTGGAATGATGCGTGAATCCCCAGAGGCACCATGACGCCTCTTCGTTTTGAGGAACGCGTCTGATACAGTTGTTACCTGCGCGTAAGCGACCAGAGTGCAATTTATCGTACCGTTGTGCATCGAAGGTGCTCTCTGGTCTTATCCTTCGAAGGTTGACTGGACACAGGGTGAGACAGATTCGTGAAAACGAAGCTGGGTTCTGTCCTGCAAGAGGTTAGTCGACCATATCTTCACCCTCCGACAAATTCTGGAACAGCGACACTGCTTCCAGCAGCCAACAGTGGTTGTTTCTTGATCTGAAAGCTGCCTTTGACTCTGTGGACCGCAGAGCACTATGGCAATGTCTGTGGATCAAAGGTGTCCCCCTTTAATTTTTGACCCCCATTATGGCGCTGTACACCAACTTGCGCGGCCGTGTAAAGTATCAGTAGTTCTTATTTAGACAATATAGTACTACTCATCCTTTAGACACAGAAACCGCATCATGTGATCACTTGTTGACTGGCTCCTCTTGTGACTACTTCTCAGATTGAAATTTCATTCGTCTTGTGAAATTACTCTCCTTCTGTACTACTTATAGATTGATGGTAATGTAGTGGAGATGGGAGAATTATCAGTTGCATGGTACCCTGTTTACTAGTCCATCATTTAACAGGAGTGCCCAGACATTTTTATCGACCGGAACCTTTCGGAACTTATATCGCTTAAGGTTCAACTATGAAGCGTTTCCGTTTAACTGTGCTCTTTCCCTAAACGGAACACTGTAACTTCCGTCATACCAGTAATCATAAAATGTTGCAGCTAACTGCAGTACCTTAGGAACTCAACAAAAGACCCACAGTCCGAGAACATAGCTGCTCTATATCGAGCAAGGGAGTGTAGATTTGTAGTGAACATCACTTCACTGAAAGCTCCATGCTTACTTAAAATGCAGACTGGTCGGTGTCCAGCGATTTAGTGACCTAGCTCCCATGACAAATCGGACCGTACGAGCATCGTGGCTGCTTGGTTGCTTAAGCGTCCAATGCAATCTATATTTGGTTTTCTGGTACACAGTGACAGCCTTTCCAGTGAAGTTCAAGTTCCAGATATTGTTTGCTAATTTACAGGAATCTAACCTTAAAAAACGTTTCATATTGGGTCCGAATGCTTCTTTCCGTAATCTAGTGCTAATGCAATAATGCCTGTGGATTGTCTGTGCCGTTCCGGACGTTAAAAGCCATCGATGTATGAGCGAGAGACAGTCCCATATTTGAACCGCTTTCGTCATTGCATTTGATAATTTCCGTATCATTTAATCGCGGGAACAATTGGCGGCATATTTTCGCTCCATGTACTGATCGTCTAAACGGTTTCAAATGCTTTAATGTAGATATCGAATTGTGCTTTGTGCTACTTTACTTTGGGCTACTCTGCATGTCATATACTGGAGTTAAGACCGTCCCCAAATGCCTATGTTATATATCGGTTTCCCTAATTTTCACCGTGTTCTTCCGGCTGACTCGACCTGACATTCGCTGTCGTTAAACGAACGAACCATAGTGACTGCAAATATCAATGGAACGATTGTTAAGCACGAGGGCCGAGATACTGTCAGCTTACCCAAGCCTACACAGAAGAAGCCAGAATCCGAAATGTGACGGATTCTCGAACAACTTGCAACTTGAATGAGATTCATTATGCTTACCAACATAGCTTTTTACGGGTCCACAATAACAGGCGAGTAACCAAAGGATAGGGTCAGTGTTATGTCCAAGCAGTATGCGAGTTCGTTATTTGTGTCCATCAAGGTCTATGGATTTACATTGGACGTCATGTTTCAGGTTGGACGCCGGACACAGATTTTAGAATATCTTCCTAATCAGTGCAGGCTTTATTGATCTCGCACTGGGCGTCTATACAGCATTTCACTCCTCTGTACGGTCCCGACTTGCCTGTTTACTAGCGAAAATGTCTGGTTTAAGTTGCAAGTGGAATGAGCTTAGTTAAGTTGGCGGTGTTGTTAACGGGTTAACTCGTGTATCTAGCATAGTTGACCTCAGTTAGCTGTGACCATGAAACTGTCGAACCACATCAGGACTCGTGTTAAAAGCCAAACGTTGTCCAATTAAAAACTACCGATTGTTTACTAAGCCATTCTGAAACTCGTCATTCTGGTTATTTCCACCCACAACCAACCGTCTGCTTTCACACTGTCACTAACTGCTCTAATATTTTCTCTATTCACAGGTCCGCGATCCCAGTCGGAACTATGCAATGGTTGATCTCCGTCCAAGTCCAGCCAGTTCTTCTCATGTTCACACTGAACTTACAGTGAGTTCAGTGCATCAGGCACAGCACCATGCCCTTCGGTTCGATGAACTCACTTCCACCGCCTCTTCTACAGGCAGCACAATAGCATTCTCTAATAGTACCAGCACTGGGAGTGATTGCACTAACGATGCGGCCACGCTTACTTCAGACACGGTAGGGAATTACGCCGCTGTGTATCCTGTGACAACAAGTAGTTCGGAACAGACTGAGTCGGACAACTTGTTCACTTCCATGAGCGGTATGTGTCCGAAACAGGCATCCCGTCGCCGACATAGTCACAGTCTCTCCTCAGCGATTTCCGAAGCGCCACTGTTGAACTATGTCGATGTGATCACATCCACGGCACCTTTTATCTCATCAGATTCATCGCGCCGCGTAGATCCGACCACGCTTTCCGATCCCAGTGGTTCCTCTATACCCGAACACACAGACTCTCTCAGCTCTAGTAGTGGTCTAGGTGGTATTGCCTCACAATCCATTACCCCACCTCTAGCTCCTGGTGGTAGCGCATCCTTTGGGGACATTTTCACTAGCCGTTCGATGACCTCCTCTGCCACCTCGTCCGGAGAAGGAGCTGCAGTAGACCATGGGTTCCACAGTTGTTCTCCTCCAGATTCCAGCTGTGTTGCGTATACGCAAATCGACATCTCCCGGACCATGGCTCTAGAACAACTAAGTGGCGATATTGAACAAGAAAATGTCCATATTTCCAGTAGCAAACAGTCTGGAACGGGCGCACAATCGCATCCGTGGGGCTCCTCAAAAACCGATCGTTCGGCCTCGGTTCGCAAAACCCTTTCTCGACCCATAAGATCGATACGAAGAGGAAATCAGAAGAAGACAGGCGGTTTCTTCAGTTAGAAGGAAATCTCAACGGGTATACAAACATCAACGTTGTCCTAATTGCCATTCGGTTCCCTGCCTTTTGATCAGGGTCATTTACAATGCAAAACGCACAACCAACTCTGTTTTTTAATCATCGACCATACACAAAACCCTTGTTTTCATCTATATGCAATTATTTGAAACAGCTGATTTTGTTCCATTACCGTCTCCCGATTCAAAGTACTCTTGATTTTTGTTCTCTTTTTACTTCCGTTTTGTTGTCAGAACCGGTCTCTCCCTTGTTGGTCCACAGCTGTTCACAGCATTTGTCGCCTGGCCATTATCTTGTTTGTAGCACCTTTCGATTCGCATCTCAGTCCCCTTAAGTTTTGTTTCCTTTGCATGAATACTTTTCTTCCAGTTCTCTTACCCCCTTCAAGACCTGTGTATATACCAGTTTACCTAATCGTGCGTCCACTGTACCTCTCATATTTCGCAATGCTGTGAATGGAATCAAAGTCACCATTGACGTCTATTTATTTCTCTGTTTCTTCTATGGATATTATTTCCCATTCTTTGTTGATGATGACCTGGAAACTATTACGACTACCATGTTGCTCTTTACAGAACATTGAAAGCAGCACTTTTGCTGTTCAGCAGTTATTATTATCATTACTACCGCGGTTACAGCATCCTTACTGTTGCCATTATTTCTCTTGTTTTCAGTGTGTTATTTAGTTATTGGTTGCCTTTTCTCTCTTCTCCTCTCCAGTCTGATCAATGTACGCACTTATTTCTCTGGCATCTCACTGCGCACCATCTCGTTGTTGGTTTCAATATTGCCTTCATATTAGAAAACATTTTGGTATTCGGTACCTGAACCCCACACAACTTGTTTACCTCCAGGTGTTTTGTCTTCGGTTATTCCTTTCTCCAGCGCCTCAGGTTCCGTTTTAACCAACTTCGTTTCTATGTGCACAGTACACATAGGAACAAGACGCGTTTTTTACTCATTCTGGCAGGGACAACAAACCTGTCCGTTAATTTCTCTCACTTTTTGGAGTAGGAACTACCTCTCTTTTTCCTTCCCTATCTCTTTATGCATGTCTTTTTGTCTCATGCATTTTTCGGTTGCGGATGGCTTCACAATGATTTTTCATGTTAGAACCCTCTGACTCCACAGATGATCCGTCTGCATGGAATGAATACTTACATATTATGTATGTGCAGCGCTTTAGTACGTTGAGGTGCCGATAGTTTTGAACCATTTCTATACATGCGTATAAATGTATGTGCGCACATTTGTCCCTTATCGACGGTCGTTTTGTCAGGGCCCATGGTGCCTTATTGGGCATGCTGCCTGCTTCGGGAACGAACATAACGGAGTGCTACTGTTAATTCCCACCGCCGTCGTTTTTCAAACGCAACTTCCGCATTTGTAACCATGGAAAATTAACACTTCACTGATGATTTGAAGTGTGTAGCAAGAAGGGATGCTGTCGGCATCTCTTCAACTTAACTGTCATGGATTTTACTTCGTCAATAGGTAGGAATGTAGCAAGCGGAGCCATTGATGCGGTGCGACAATCGGTTCCGATGCCTATTTTCAAAGCAGACTTTAGGGTTTGCGCCAAGGTCTTCCTTTTTCAGGAGCGGATTCGGTATTGACCGCCCAACGTGACCTCAGTAAAAGGTAATGATCTCCGGTTGGCATTGCGGACGCTGTTTTTGCTTAACTCTTTGACCAATGGATGGAATGTTTCGTATTCGGTGAGGCAAGTTTTTGTTTCGCAGTTCGTCCGTCGGTGGATTATCCACCCAACTTGAAATACAATGTAAGTCTTTCCAGTTACTTTCGCATAAGCTTTCATATATTTTCCCAATCTAGATCTCACCGCAGGTGCGTGTGAATGAGTAAACAAGTGGGCTTGAAAGATTAGATGCAAAGCGTGACGCACGTCGGAGATTCCTCCGTCTTGTTTGGAGAGAACGATAGATTACTTGTGAGTTAGTGCTTTTAAGACTGACTTCATTCAAAATATTTATCCTCTTGTGTGCATCTAGATGACTGCTCAAAATCAGTGTCTTAAACACCCGCCATGGATAAGGCCGGGCTGTAAATACTTCTGACTCGGCCGAACACGGTGCGCGCCGAGTTTCTTTTTAAAGGGTTAGAATGCCGATTTTGTGAGTATTGTCCAGTGCATTTCCTGAGGTAACATCTAAGAGAATAGTGGAATTTTTGGATGTGCATTCTTCACATTTTTCAAATTAATGGCATCTGAAAAACTAGAATGTCTACGTGTCGTCAGTACTGTACTGAAGATGTGATCAAACAGCGGACTTTCAATCATACCCGCAGAGACTGTTACTGACGGCGTGAGTGAAAATGATTTTGCCTACACGTAGTTCCTGGCAAACGTTTCCAATAGTCAGCTCTGCAGAAATACGTGGTTGTTTTGCCAGGCAATCATTCAAAGGAACAAGAATGAATGAAGAGTTGGCATCTGTGCAAATCATTTTGTGAACTTAACGGCGGTTGGTCCGGAATTTGATTCCTAGAAGGCCCTTTACACAGTCGTTTACGGCAACCTCGGGTATAGAGGTTACAAAAGAGATATGCCCATCGACTTGCGCAGCTCCAAGTTTGCTCATGATAAGATTCGTCAACAGAAGATCCCGCTGCGGCCCCTTTCTACCGATAAAGTTCAACACTGGACATGAAATGAACATTGTTGGTTCACAGTAATTTAGTTCCATGGAATACTGATGTCAACATCTTTCCGTGAGTGACACGTTAGTAAATAGAGAAACAATGTCAATGGAAGATGATGACCTTAAGATCACTAATCTAGTTGAGGAACTCAGAACTGTCGGGCTGTGTTGACATTCCTCCCTTGTTTGGTTTCCAAAAGCCGATGTACCATTTGATCAAAACACCATAAAGCGGAGTTAAGGAAGTCGAAGGTGGTTTATTCACTTTTTGGAGACCGTAGAGCCAGGATGTTGCGTATCAGCGTGACTGCGCCGAGAAGGATTTGCATGGACACTAGTGCTGTATTGCTTTGTATGCTGGTTTTAGAGCACGTGCCCCATCCTCCCAAGTTTTCGTCCCCTTAGATTTAGTGTCGTCGTGCAGGATGTCGTTCGCCTTAACTATGTAGTCGTTTCAAATGGGATTTTGTCCTGTCAGTGAGACACGTTAGTAAATAGAGAAACAATGTCAATGGAAGATGATGACCTTAAGATCACTAATCTAGTTGAGGAACTCAGAACTGTCGGGCTGTGTTGACATTCCTCCCTTGTTTGGTTTCCAAAAGCCGATGTACCATTTGATCAAAACACCATAAAGCGGAGTTAAGGAAGTCGAAGGTGGTTTATTCACTTTTTGGAGACCGTAGAGCCAGGATGTTGCGTATCAGCGTGACTGCGCCGAGAAGGATTTGCATGGACACTAGTGCTGTATTGCTTTGTATGCTGGTTTTAGAGCACGTGCCCCATCCTCCCAAGTTTTCGTCCCCTTAGATTTAGTGTCGTCGTGCAGGATGTCGTTCGTCTTAACTATGTAGTCGTTTCAAATGGGATTTTGTCCTGTCAGTGAGGCTAATGCATGCTGAAAAGCCGAGAAGCACTGTACATGTGTTTCATCCTTATTGTGGATCATCGTCACTGGGCACCTTATGAGACTCAGTTTCGAACCAGCGATCTTCGGGCCAGTGGTTGAACGCCTAACTGTTCAGCCTTGAGCGAGATGGCTCAAGTGGTTAGACCGTGAGTTTACTGACCAGAAGGTCCGTGGTTCGAAACCGACCGCTGCCTTTCGATTTCCCCTGTCTCGGCTTGGGCAACGTGGCAATATCCCAGCTCTCGTGCTTCCTTCCTGCTTCCTTCCTTCAGCCTCGAGCGGCTGATGGCAGTGGTCAATTCTCTTAGTCAAGATATAGGATGGATACCATATTAAGCCACTTGTTGATTGATCGTAGCCTGAAGATAATTTGTAATTTTCCATTGAGATATGGTGCCGTAATTGAAGGGCACGTATACTGAATAACCGATAAGCACTGTATATAACTGTTGATCTCTACCTGACCCGAGTGTCAAAGAGTTCGATACTGTTTAGCAGCACTTCGAACAATCCACATAGCTGATTTTACTTGTGTCCCGACCATGATGTGCTTGCTTCGCTCTATTTGGGATAAAATATGAGAGTGACGATGTCGCATATATACAAAGTACCAATACAAAGAACAACTGCTACAGCTGCGAAAGACGGGTGAATAACAGAATAACTCGCTTAACGCCCGTTTGTGTTAACTTTCACTGCGTCGAAATTTATTCGACTGAACGAGGAATCTCTATTGAGCACCGAACCTAGAAGTGCACATTGTCGTTCAGAGTGAACTATGTGATAAGTACGAAACGAACAGATAAGCGCATAGTAGTTGATGTTTTGTCGTTTCTTTCCCCATGTAAAATTGGTGAAATGAATGTATAACGGTCGTTCTCAGCCTATCTCACACCGGATACCATTCACACTAGATAATGACTGATCGTCCTCCGTGTGGGGTCTTGCTGACCCGCACAGGGAGCATACGGTTCAAACCCAACCCAAAAGTAGCAGAGTTGATGGCTGGTTTGATGAAATGCTGAACACAATAATGCCTGCCGCTTTCGTCTCTAGTCAGTTTGGTTTATTTCGGTCTAATACGTGACCGAAAGATAAAAGAACCGCTGTACAAAGTTAGGACATTACATTCAGGGTAGTACACAAATGACTATTTTTTACACATGTACCATGTGGAATGCACATAAAAGGGCGATTTCTCGTCTAACCGAATTTACTAAAAGAAACAGATGATGCATCAGTGAAATCGACCAAATCATGTGATAGCTAAAGCTATTGAGTTTTTTATACTGTGTTCAGTTGACAATAATGGGGATACTAAACCTAATGCTTTGTTCCGCAGGATTTGGGCTGCAGGTACCATCGATACAGTATTCTGCATACCGTTTGTGGTCCTTCCACATCAGTCTACTCTGCAAGCATAGAACTTGGGACACCCATCGAATGAAACTTTTTTTCTTGGAAGGTCCATAAAAGGCCAAGTAAGTGCCAAAGCTCCAAATGGAATACATGGAGCGGAGCTACATCAAATTCAACGAAAAGTTTGTTTTCACTGCACGTGATATGCTTAGCAAAAAATAATAATATCGTCCAGTAAGCAAACGACCACTCTGTGGCATGATCAGTTTCTGTGGACGACAGGTCGAACACACTACAGGCTAGGGAACGAGATGCCTCAATGCTAAGAGCGCGAATATACTGATGGGATTGTTAGTGGTTCGAAACCGACCTCTGTCTCTCGACTTCCCCGGTCTACGTTTGGGCAACCTGGCAGTAGCCCATCTCTCGTGCTTCTATCTGGTGGCATGACATTTAGGCACCGAAAGGGTGCTACAGTTGAACGATATACAGGCCAGGTCCAAATATATGTCACAGCCTTTATATTCCCTCTTACTTTTCTGTTAAATCTCCCTAATCTAGTATTAAAGCGGAATTTGCGGAATTATTTTGCGTAGACCGGAGACGTTACAAGTAGTTGAGCTGTTGAGCACAAAAACTGCAAACGGTTAGTTTCGCAACACTGGCGTCCAAAGTTTTATCATGACGATAAGTAAATAGTAAATCGTTCAGCTGCCACAATTTTTCCATTCATAGCTACCAAGTAATCCAAAGGAAGGACTATATCGAAGAAATCTCCAGTTTACCTCAGCCTACACAAGAGAATCGAAAAAACAGAATGAGGCTCGAGGAATGTAATTTAACGTCTATATTCCATCACCATATTCACTAGCTCGTCTCCTGAACAGTCCTGCTTAACGAAGAGGCAATCTTTGGTTTTGGCTAGCGAACAAAGAGCAAAAAAGTAATGAGGCTTATTGCAATCGGATTCAACATCGAATAAAGCGGGCCAAAAATGACAACCTACGCAGATCCGGAACTTCCGCTTCTCCCACCATGAAATCAGCCATACAATGAGGTGCACTAGTGTAGCAGCCCACGTTGTCTGAATGAAGCAAGCAAACAAGACGCAGTAGCAGGTACACTTTCGTAACTCTGTGCAGACGAGTAAAGAACGTCCTTGTAGTTAGACAGTCCACGTGAATTTTGCGGACAATCACGTGTGCATTGAGCTAATACTTTTGCGTTATGAACATATGTTGATCCACCCCCGTTTCCCATCAGTGCGTTCGTCTAACAATAACAACTCAGCTATTTGTGGACTATTTACGGTTATTTTGAT